TGCAACTAAATGGTCTGGTCACGACAAATTTAAAAGTATGCAATCAATGTCGTTATCAGTGGAAAACACAAACAACTTTATGTAATATAGCATCTCTGAGATTAACTCCAAAGCAAGAAGAAAGAATGCTTGGCGAGCTTTTACAGTTCACTGTGATCGTTGGATGGAAGATCAGGATTTAAGATTATTAAAAGAATAAATACATCGCACTGTGAATCTTTAGCAACTGCATAGCAAAATGTCTTTTAGGTTACTACTAGGGCTTTCTATTGATATCGTTTCACTGTGGTTGACTGGGCAACGATATCAATTGAATATGCAAATTTGTGTTAAAAGTTAATATAAAATTTTCATAACAAGTCAAAGTAAAGTAAATTTCAATTGCCTGACATTGCTTTTGAACGCCATATGATTTAGCTGAAAGATTATTGACTCTTATCGCATATCATTGGTCTTTAATACCTTATTCAGAGTTTAGGGTGCTCAATAAATGCAATATGATGAGTTCTACAATAAATTTCTTTGCTGTAAGAAACGCTTGAAAATAAATGCTTCATCAGAGATACGTAGATTTTGGTTATGGATGAAAGAGAGAATTTAGCAAGCTTGGAAGATAAAGGTGATGATAACAGTTGGATATGGTACGGATTCCTAAATGAAGGTAGTTCTGAATTCCTGCTATAGCTTTTACGTAGATTTTGACTGCTTTATTAGTTTTGAAATATATTAAAAGTGAGGTGTTGAGAAGCACTATCTCGTTAATATTAAGCATTAAGTGCAGTGATTCGAGTAAACATAGCATGAATGTCGCTTATTTTTTACATTTGTTGCAATTTGCTGGAATTAATAAAAATGCTCTACGGTCAGTATCTGAGCGAAGAAGTCCTATGCGATGAGTCGTTGACTGACAAACTTTATCGTTGTATAATTGCATTACAGCTAGACGGCGTTAATTTCTTGATTTCCCGACTAATCATATATCATGCGGGACTTTAACGTCTTTATTACATTTTTGAATGTGACTATACCCAAATGGCATACAATACGAACGAACAGTCGGTTTCTAGTTTGATTAGTTCAAAGACGGCCATACATGAAACTGGTATAGTAATATAGATAATTTGAGAATTGAAGGAGTTGCAAGGCAGCATAAATTAGGCGATTATTCAGTTGACGATTCTTGTGATAATGCACATATTACAAACTTTGGCCAGCGTTTACCCCGAATTCTTTGAAATTTTGGTAGCTTCTACAATAAAGTCCATATTTTCACTCACAGTGATTAAATTTTTCCGATTATTATTTTTTGTTCGCAGGCCTGTTTTTAAGAACTTTTAACAACGGTTCTTTCACTGGAAAAAACTCCCGTTTTCAGAAATTCAGTGCCATGTATTCCAGAGAACTTTAAAGTATTTAGAATCATTAGATTCGGCTTCATTCCTCGTGCATCTCATTTTAGATAACTTTGTCCGCACGTCAACCTTTTTTATAGATTCTGCTTGTTCAATTAGAACTTGTGACACTAAATTTGAGTGGTTGAAGAAACAAATAAATTATTCACCGAATGTATGACGTTGAACTCTTCACGTCTAGCTTGTGACATGAGACAGTCAACACAAGGATGAAAACCGTAGGTCTAACAATTGGATAGGAAATTCTTCATGTTTTTGAATCCCGTCTGCGTCCATGAAGATGACGATCCAGGGCAAAATAAAAGATAAGGCCAACAGAGCAATGCATTCTTTTCTGAGCTACAACAAAGCCAATCTTTCTTCGAGTACCAACTTTCCTGAAAGCTTCTATTGCCTGTAGTCGCTTGTAAATTTGGAATTGGCCGCTGCTTTACGAGTATATTTTGCTCGCCTGATTGTCGAACAGAAAATGGTTTCTTTTGCAGTTCACTTATTATATCGATTTCGTTAGCCGAAGCCATTGTAATGTAAGTTATCACGATTTCCGAAAGTATATTTCGAAAGCTCAAAATTCAAGTCACGCTTTTGAAAATGAGCCCGACTAGATGTTGTTAAATGTTTGAGTGTGTTCACAGCTACTCTCAACCAATCAGATTACAGATATTCCCACTATGGATTTTACTACTTGGTCGGGCTGAATTTTCAGAGCCCGACTAGATGTTGCGAAACAGCGCATTTGAGTTTGCTCGGTTGTTGTCAACCAATCAGATTGCAGATAATTCCACTATAGATTTTACTTCTTGGTCGGGCTGAATTTTCAGAGCCCGACTAAACTGCGTAATGCCTGGCACTAGAAATGCACTTGTCATTGTTGCTAAGTAACGTTTAAAAATATGATAATTTTGCTAATAACGACGCAATTTGACAAATATTACACTAATAGACTGTGGATTATTCCAAAAAGAGTCGCAGAATGGCACACTGGTAGCTGCTGGCATGAAACAAAAACATTTTTATTATTTAAAATGATTTTCAAACCATGTTTAGCTACAACATGTTATATAATCATTATTAATTACCTGGAATTGAGCGGGGGACATCATTGACCACAATGCATTTTCGACGGATCTGTTTTAGTAGCACCTCAGATCTGGGTTGCTTTTGCAGCATGACATTCATTGGTGGTGGGGACATTTCTTTCAAAAGATTTTGTGAATTTGATAATGCGTCTTTGTCTTTCATTGACAGCATTACACTCTCAAATAATTCATCCACATACTCTGAAAAGAAATTATTGTCGTATTCAATACTATGAAATGATGCAAAGCAACACATTTAGCAACAACTGACCAAATTTGGGCTTAACTCTGACATATAATTTGCTATCAACTATAACAGCGAAATTTTGAAATTTGAAAATTAGTGTTGATTTTAGCTAATTAATGCCTCTGTAACGTCTTCAAGCGTCATAAATTGCTGTGTTTGGGATGGTAAAGCGAAAAAGAACTAATTCGATGTCTTCATTTGCTTTGTAAGTCACGTGTTCACAAAGTCTTGGCACTCATAAAACTGTTTTTCACCAAAACATTCTAGATAATTATAAAACTTCCCCTCTAACAAAAAAATTATGTTCCTACTAAATGACTCTGTGACTCAAGTTGTCTTCGATTCTTTTCCCCAATAAATGCTCATTTTCAAACAAATAGGAGCAATATACATGAAGGCTGTATTCTTTAAGTGAAATAATTTTTGGGAGAGGGACATTTAAGAATTTTATTGTTCTTGTGAAATTTTATTCACGGCTTGATAAACGTAGTTTTGCTAGCTTTTTATTCAAAAAGAAAACGAATATTTACCTAAGTTTTACTGAAATTTCTTAAGATAAATTAAAGAATTAAGAAACGCTTATACCACCTCATTGCTATGCAAATTTTCATTACAAACATGCATGTCCTCTTTATTTCATATACAAATGGTTTCACTCTTTCTTAAGTTAATCGTTTCACTCTTTGTTTGCAGTCCTGATGAGAGAGAAAAGGGTTTCGCTGCTTTAATTGATCGCCGCTCAGAGAAGTGGATGTCTGTGCAACTTGCCCTTGATAAACTTATGGTAACAAATTTTCAGATATAGTATGTTGATTCCCTTATCATTTAATTAAGTTGTTTATGCGCAATTGTGTATGATTAAGTTCAAAATCACTTAAATCAGTCTTTATTGTGTTGTTCTTCACCCTTCAGAGTGCATAATTTCATCTTACGAGTGCATAATTTCAACTTTCTTTCGATAATCGCTAGATAGTATACTCGAAAATAAGATTTCTGTGCGTTCTCTGGGACTATTTTCACATAAACTACGAGTGCTTTACGTTCCAAGGCATAGCTTCTCTCTCCAGCCCTACACGCTACAGAGTATATTTCCATATTTGTGAGAACATTAGTTTAAAATCATTCAGAGTATGATTATGACGTTATATCCTTTGAATGAAACAGTGTGCTTGAAATCGTCGCTTTCAGATAAAAATGTACAAAATAACATGCAGTTTTATGTTTTTAATTATACCATATATTACCAGTACAGCGCCGCAAAACGTTAAATGGGAGTAGGAATGGGGATAGGGGGGCAAACGCTCATAAATATATAACATAAATCCGTTTAAGACAATAGATTTTGATGGCACTTAATATGGCGTGCAATACATATAAAATTTTTTGAAGTGAATAAAAGTGCTCAATACCATAGAGCGTATATACACAGAATAGATATATATCTATTCTGTGGTATATATATAATAAAAGAAATTAAAATTCTCAAAATTTTGCCAAAGCAATCTCCAGGCATCTAATGATACAAAAACGGTTGTCTCTTGCTTTGCTATTTGATTGCTGACGCGTGCGGTAATTTAAAACGTTGCGCGAGTGGATATACTTCATGTACAGTTTACTGCGTTTATTCCAAAGATTGCTTTTATCACGATGAATAATTTCAAGTTTCTTGTTTGTACATATGCTGCAATATTTTCCTAAAGCCTTGATGGAATGAGTCAGGGGTAGAATGATCATTTAATTTAAAACTTTTCGCTGTACAATTATTCTGTGTTGTTCTTGCTTTTCACATTGGTAAATGACTTCTTATGGTTTTCTGTAGCGCTCCTTAAACGCTAAACAACTTTTAAGGACGGAAACAACGCTCAACAAAATCAAGTGCATATAGTAATCTTTGAGCGAATGATCAAAATATTGCCCTCCTGTGGCTGGTTGTTATTTTCTTGAGAGAATTTATGCTACAATTTAGTCATTACAGTGTCACCGTAAATGTTTTCTTGAACTTTCTTTTCGGTTTATCAGCATTTGCAAACACGACAATATTTTGCCGTATTTTAAGATTTTTACAAAAACCAACTGTTTTTTCTTGGTTTTAAAGACCATTGTCACTGGCATGAAATCTTTCATTTTCAAAAATTTTCATTCCTGCTGTACCAGAGATCGAATACTGTGTGCATGCTCTGGTTTACATTGTCTAACAAAAGATTATTTTGCCAATTATGGAGATGATCTTTTGAATAAGTTCTTGTTAGTACATACATCTTAATGATAGTTGTTGGAAGGTTTGGTGGCCACAATCTCTTTTCTTCATTTTTGCATGCTCTTGGCATCTTGCTGTTTAAGTGCCTTCTAGTGGCAACAATTTAAAGTTGTTTTCTTTGGAGACACTTTTGTAAAAAAGTGACTGCACAGCAAGAGAAATTTAACTATACCTTAAATTTTGTAAATAAAGCAACTGAGTGAATAAGTCATCAACAGAGAAATTTTCCTGTTACTGTTGGCCAATTTGACTGAGAAACGAGCTTGTGGCCTATTTTGAAGCCGCATTGTATTAGAAATTGCATAATCCATGTTTAAAAAATATGTTCCGCATAAAGTTCTCTTAATCAAGTTGACATTCAATGTAAAATAAAGATTTATTCTTAAATAAATCGAGCAAAACAAGAAAACATCTTTTAAAATAGCATTGCATGTAAAGCAATCGTTGCTTGTATCAGAACATATCGCAAAACTTGTTTCGGACAACGCACGGAAACTTTATTTTAAAAGCTTTTTTCTAACCACATTTCATTTCCATCTTTATCATTGATCTCTATGTATGAACTGGATTTATAGCATAAACAATATAAATTTCAATAAACACAAAATTGTTTCCTTTGTGCCCACATTCGGATCCTGTACATTTGTTTTACTGACAATGCCTAAAGCTGAAGATTTTAGTCCGGAACAACCTTCGCAGGCTAATCAAAAACCTAAATTATATTTCACTTCGGTGAATAATACCAGAAACTCGATAGGGATTGTTTTTAGATTCATTTGGCTTCTGATTGTTCCCTATTTATCATGGCGGTTATTAGAGTGTTAAGTACATTACTTGAACTTGCTAGCTATTAACCACCGCCAAAACAGCCTTGCGTATCCTGCTTGAGTCACATGATACTTCTCAACTAAACATTATACTTTGATTTTTCTCTTGATTTAGCGGTTTTTCCCTGCCTCATTTGTCATTAAAAATGCGTATGTCATCAAGCCGCAAGGATTTTTTCGAAAGTTTTCTAGAAGTAGATTTCGATCAGATGAATCATATGACTTCCAGGTACGAAGTGTTTTCTGTTTTCATGAAGGTACTTTTTGAGACTACCTGATCCCTTTAATGGCACGTGCACATGTTCACCAGGTTGGTATGGTCACACCTGTGCGCAGGCCTGTCCCTACGGTTATTTTGGCAATGGATGTAACAAGAAGTGCGAATGTGCTAATGGAGCGTCGTGTGATCCAGTGCACGGCACGTGTTCGTGTACTGCTGGTTGGAGAGGTAGAAACTGCTCTCACACCTGTTCATCTGGCTTATTTGGCACCGAATGTGCTCATTATTGTCGCTGTGGTCATCACGTGGACGTATCGTGTAACCACGTGACTGGAGAATGCTTTTGTGCTGCGGGCTACACTGGTCCTAGGTTAGTAAGTGTTTTATGTAACCAAGTGACTAGAGAGTTTTTGTGCTAAAATTCAGTACAGTAATAGTGTTCTCTTTGTTTGCGTTGAGTAAAACTTTTCATCTTTATTGCTTTCTAAAGACTGACACAAAATTATCTTGATCTACAAATCTATCTCTGATTTTGCTTGTCGTTTTTGGTTCATCACATATTCATATTGATGTCAGACGTCCTATTAACTCGACTTCTATGGGCAGAGCCACTGGGCAGAATTCTGACTTCTTAACCCGATGTTCTATGTTCAATGTCAGATTTCTTCTTGACTCAACTTCTTTGAACTCGATCAATGAGATTTTCCCAACTTGTTTCTTTCCCTTTCTCGAGCTTTGACTTCTTTGTTCGTTCATTACATTTTTTCTTTGACATCAATGTACATCGACTGAAAATAATAGCAATTAGATTGTTTTTCAAAAACTAAGATCTCATTTTAGATGTAGTCGATCGTGCGATCCTGGACGATATGGACTACGATGCCTCAAGACATGCGAATGTTAAAACGATGGCGAATGCCGTCCGAATGATGGTCGGTGCATCTGCTTGGCGGGGTTTATAGGGGATAAATGCGAACACAAGTGCCCTCCAATGACGTTTGGGGTGAACTGTACTGACACTTGCGGATGTGTGCCCAGAGTCAGTCGTCTTCCTGTGATCACGTGACAGGAAAATGCATCTGCTTACCTGGTTACTATGGCTACCATTGCGAGAATGAATGTCCGGAAGGTAAATACGGTCAGGATTGTGCATTGGACTGCGAGTGCGCAAACGAGGCTTCTTGTCATCAAGTGAACGGAACATGTGATTGCACGGAAGGTTTTATTGGAAGAAAATGTGAAAAGCCCTGTCCTCAAGGAAAGTTTGGTGCGAACTGTTTAGGTATGTTTGTATTTTTGCGATGCATTTTTCAATTACATGAGATGAAGTCAAATAACCTATGTCTGTGCAGATGGTGATTTATGAGATCACTCTAGGACTACAGTCACGTGATTAGATATGGATTTTCTGTCTATGTGAAAACGGTGCGTCATGTGATAAAATAAAATGGGAAATGTCTGTGTCTTTCGGGATTCACAGGGAGTCGTTGTATGGACAAGTGTCCCGACCGTTCATGGGGCATTGAATGTCAAAACAAGTGCTCGTGTGAGTGGAATCAGACAAGGAAATGTCGAGGTGATAACGGGCAATGTCTTTGCCACGATGGCTACAGAGGTGCCACTTGTCAACAGGTACCTCTTGCTATTCACGTGTCTCCATCTTACTTCAATATTTAACACATCTTCCTTTCAATTTATTAGTTCTGCGAAGATGGGACTTATGGTGAAGATTGCAAACATCCTTGCCCGGTTTGTTTCTGACACGTGATCGGCACGTGTTATAAAATTGACAGCCGTTGCCCCTGCTCCCCAGGTTACCGAGGACATTTGTGTAACAGTGATTGCATGCTGAAGAATTATGGAAAGAATTGCGGAAAGCGCTGCGATTGTGATGTTGATCACGTGTGCCATCACGTGACTGGTACTTGTTATCTAACGCGTGTGGGAAGGTTTCAAATCGTCATCAAGGAAAACTTCACAAATTTCGATGAGATGGTACGGCGAAAACAGTTGAAACTCAATGTTGCCGTTTTGATAGCCAAATACAATAACATGTATGAGGAACTACGTCATCTCTCGAGACGAAGGATTCCGGTCACGTCAATTCATGGAAATATAAGCATCGTCAGCACGCAGATAACGGAAACAATTCAACCTGCAACTAGGCACGACTTTGTTGCACGTATTTTAGGTAAGAAGCGCTTACCTTCACAGCTATCGGCAACATCTGTCTTTCGTTTATAAGGTGCTCAATTTGATCTTAAATTTTCATCTTTGGAGGCTCCGTCAACTTTAATAAATCGATATGGTATTTTTTGTTATCGATAAGTAGATATAATTTGAATACTTCTCACTGTCAAATTCCTTCGTATATACCAATCTTTTCACGCACGCTAAAAGTAAGTTCATTGCTATAGAAAAGTGCTGTAAACGATAGTAATGTATTACATAACTTTAGTTGCTCGCGATGGAACGCATTGTCCCACTTTGCAAATTGCAATTGCAAGTTATTGTTGAGAATTCGTGATTGAAGTGATGTCAGAATCGATGTCTGATCTGAAGAATGTATTATTGGTGGTTATGCTCGGGATGGCGAGATCCTACTCTAACGGGTTGCATTCGTGGAAGGATGCATTCATGTTTGGATGAAGAAGCTGTAAGCAATATCCTTGGATGTACTTATTATTCCGGGGTGTTGTATTCAGAGAATGTTCTGTGTACTCTCCCCTGGTAATGTGTCTGTCTCCCCTGGTAATGGTTCTGTGTACTCTCCCCTGGTAATTGGCGCGAGTGGAGGTAAGACTTGTTGTTTTTTCCTACCTTCTTTATGACAGGCAATTTCGCATATAAATAGCTAAAAAGATGGCCTTGCGTGGATATTATTTCATGTTCAATGCGTGTCTCATTCAGGTTCTCTTGGCCTGGTGGTTTTGATGATAACATTGTGGTTGTGCCGTAAACGTCAGCGGCGTTTGAAGAAAATAAAATCGGAGAAAAACGGCAAAACAAGCGGAGATGGAGATAGAGTTGCGAACGCGGGGCATCCGCCATAACGGTTACAGATTGGCTTTCGATAATCCTTACTATGACGTCCTAGCTGCCATGGCTTTGGAGGAGGACGTTGAAGAAGATACATTAATCCGCTATGTGATCTTGATAGTCTGATGAGTCATCAAGGTAGTGACGAAAGCGTTAGCAGCGTCAACGATTGTAGTATTGACAGAGGCGAGAGTCTACAATCTATATCGTACTGCTGAGGTATTGAAACCGTTGTCTTCATCTTTATGTATCTGTCTCGGCAATACTTATCGTCAAGCAATCGCATGTTGTACAGCTGTTTTTAAAACAGTTCCTATGCGAAGTTTGAAATGACCTATTCTGCTCGCTTTCCTCCTTGACAAGTTTTTGAAGCTGTAATTGACCTCTAATTTTAGAGAAAATGATAATAGCGCTGTTGTCATTGAAACCGAGAATGAAGGCAGCTTTTTGGAAGCTCTTCGATAAAAATGAGAAACAGTAGTTACCACTCACTGTACGTTTTGATGCAAAATTTATCATCATTACACATTCCATGATAAAGCAACTCCCGTCTCCGTATAGGTTTTCTAAATGGTTTTACAGCGCTGTTGTTATTCTAAGTGTTACAGTTTCAAATCACAGTACGCTGGTATGTCTTTATAGAAAGTAAATTGGATAAAGCGAGTTTAGTCAATCGATTTTTAAGGCCATTGAGTATTATCAGTTTCAGTGGACTATTGAGCGATGATTTATAGCTTAACTGATGTGCGGGCCATTGCCCCACTAGCCATGCGTCATACAACTGTTGTCCATACATATTGACAGCATTCCAGATGTCTGAAGTCAAAAATGGCCTTAATGTATCAAACTTATCATTTGAGTTACTATGATGAGATAAAGCCAAGATCGTTTTTTAAATTGCCGCAAAGTCTTTACTCGTTTTTTGTGTTAATAGCTTAGTCATGTTGCTTAAAAAGTAATGCATTTTATATTTATACAGCGTTGATGAACTCGCCCATGGAGATGGAGTATTTAATCTATTTTTGTGTTTAGCAAGACTGTAGATAGCAAGACTGTAGACATACGCAAAATTTAATTTCGTTGTTCGCATGTTTACTTTACAAACCAGTTTATTTTTTTATAAAAAAGTAGAAATATCATGAAAGTTTTGTTACATAGTTGTGTTTTTCAAAAAAAGTCGAAAATATAGGAAAGGAGTTTTCAATTTTCCTATTTCTAATGTTTTTTCTATTTTGACATTCAGCTCATCTTCAGAAAAGTCAAAATGGAATATCTTTACATTATTTTTCTGTTCAACTTTTTCACAGTATTGCTCAACTTTCTCAAACTATTTTGTCTCCCCAATACTCTTCATTCCTTCAATACACGATCATCTCCTTTTGGTGTGTGACTGCCTGAGATTAGGTATATCCCAAGAGAGATTGATAGCAAGTCAAGAATTCCTTAAAGTTGCTTTTTTTCCTCAGCTATCCAGTATCATTTCAGAATTTAGTGTGGGAGAATCCCTCTGAGCAAGTTTCCTCGGACGTTACTGATGGTCTGTTAGGGGGTGTTTACATGAATCCGGAATGACTTTCAATCCCGATCGAAACGTAATGTCAATCTGTGTTTACATGAAACTAATTGTTGTTTTTCTTCGCACTCATTTTAACCCATTTAGCCTCTTTATTTACTTATGAGCTTCAATTTGCCGAAGGCAATACCCATGGCATGCGTGCTTCGTCATTAATCACAATATCATTCCAGAATGAACTCAATGCGTTTACATGATAAAAAGTAAATTTCGATCCGGAATGAAATTTCGATCCGGAATGAAACTAGAATGAACTCGATCGGATCGAGTTGTGACTCATTTGGATTCATGTAAACATACATAGTATTTCTTTTAAAGTGGATTAGCTATCCTTGGATCGAAACTCATTCCGGACTCATGTAAACACCTTAAATCGATCTAATGAAGATATAACTGCCTTGCCGTCTTCCTTCTGTTCTGCTTTTAACTGTACGCATGCGCGTATAAGCATACAAAATGGAAAACTATGTTGAATTATCCTTGGCATAGTAGAGACTGTAGAGGGCTGTCATGCTCTGCTAATTGAGCAGTTTAATAATGAGCTCGTATTTTGTACTTTTTTATTAATGCAACCGTTTCTGCTCATTCAAATAATGGCGTGCCGCACTTAAAAGTTGGCGGATTATCGAGTAGCGATTTATTTACGGACTTGAATTTTCAAGCGTATGATCAGGTGGACTACAAGATTGGATCACTGTATCGGATGCCGGCTTTTGGTTTTGGCTTTACATTTTGATCCCACTTTCATCCCAGCAGCCTTTGCAAGAATGCTTCGAAGGCAGCACGAAGAATTCGAGAGGCTCGAAGATGCGATAACCGAAGAATTTTTACTGAAGAAACAGACGGTAAAGCATTTTTAGTCTTCCAAATCATTCAATCACAATTTACCTACTGATTCAGACTGTATTCATCAGCTTTAGTTATCAGTACGATATTTTCAACATAAATTTACTCTTTACTTTTACTGCATCGAAATGACATCTCTTTCCGCAGCCAAAAGACCAAATCAATTCAGATCACAGAGCCAGGGATCTATTAGAGGTTTGCCAGATAATTCAATTTCTTTGTACCTCTTGAATGACTTATAGTGCTTATCCATTTACAAAAATAAGGTTAACTTTAAAACTACAATCCTGTGCTTAAATAATTTAGCCTTTTTGTTTGCACAACACCACCAGACATTGAATTTGATTTTGTATATCAACTCACCAGTCACATTGTCTATTTAATTGAAATGTGCATCTGTCTTTTTGTAGAGATATCTCTCTTCTACTAGCTCGTTGCTGACATTGTATAATGATAATGATGGGTAAGAATAGACATTTTGATAGTTTTTTATGAGTTTAGTTAATTTAAGGTAAGAATTAGCCGACTAGCGTTGCATGATGTGAGTCGAACTACATATTTGCCATTGCTATGCTGCCTTAAACATTCAGTTACTGCAAATATATTTATTTCATTTGTGTTGGTTCATTTCTTATACTTTTGAAATGTCTTTCCTGTTCTAGGATGAGGAAAGAAGAAATATCTGCTTTATCTGGGCCCAATGAGTTTGCTGAATTCTACAGTAGATTACGTGTTATCAAAGACTATCACAGAAAGTATCCAAATGAGGTGATATGATTTAGAATGAATGCATATACAGCCATTGGGTAATGTATTTCATTTCGGGAAAATATTTTGTTCATTGTTTTTTTGGATACCATTGAAACACCATGGAATATGAAATTTTCTTGAAAGAAATTGCATGAAATTGATTTGGTTTGCTTTATTTGACATATTTAATTATTGAACTAGAAATTTGGCCCTCTGGAATTCTGACCAAATTAGCTATGTCCAGTTTCAGCCAAAATAAAAGCAAACTCTGTATTGTATTGACACAAACTCAGTATTGAGGTTGAGCTCTATTGAATTGACACATGACTTTCAGTGAACCAAAAGAATGTTTGTGAAGGTGAAATCTTATTTTCTTTGCTTTGTTTCACCTAAATTCCAAGAACATAAACATAAACACCCAACACATCCTTAGCTGAAGATGCGATTTTCCAGTAAAATCGATCACATTTCCCATTTAAACGTGATAATTGATAAATCTCACAAGTAATATATCTAAATGACTGGGACCGCAGAGGATCGATAATTGGTGGGCTCATACTCATATATGTATGCTATAATCCATAGAAATCAATGGATTTCAAAGGAACTTGATACGGCACATCATGCACATATGAATATCAGCCCCCCCTCCCCTTCGCCCAATTATCGATCATTTGCGGTCGTTGAATTATGAAATGAACTGTTTTAAACCCTCTCACTGCACTTTTCATGTATGAAGTGATCACGTAGAACCGTAAAGAGGTTGTTCGCGATTTCTTGGTCAGCTACTGAAGTTAGAACTTTCAAATTTGATCATCATTTATATGTTCTGTAATCAAAGGGTTCAAGCTCAAAAATTTGCGCACTGCTTCATCGCGCGGCAAGTGTGATTGCGTGCGCACGATCTTGCGTCATCTTTGCATTTCGTTGTTCACCACGTATTGTTTTTAAGACTTTTTCACATTGTTGTCAATCGTGCACTGCTTCATCGCGCGGCAAGTGTGATTGCGCGCGCACGATCTTGCGTCATCCTTGCATTTCTCTAAGTCGTTGTTCACCACGTATTGTTTTTGAGACTTTTTCACATTGTTGTCAATCGTCAAAAGGGATGAACATTAAACGCTCATCCTCATGAACAACGAGGGAAGGTCATGAAAACAGAACATTGTTAATGGGCCTTAATAACCGCTCTTCCTGTAGTGTTTTTTTTTTACGAAACATTTATTTACCGTCAATAGTGTTGTTCCCAAGTCTGATATTTTCGAGCGTGACGAATTGCTTTCCCGGATGACGTTTTAGCTTATGCTAATTTAAAATTTACACTTTTCATTAGAAAAAGCGATTGTGGTGCCATACAGACTTACTGTAGAATACCAATTTAATCAATTTTGTATATGTCATTGGTTTGGCAATTCTGATGAAAGTTTTAATTCGTTATGACAATACCCATAGGTCTTCTTATCAATGGCAGAAGCCTTTTTCTTTGATTTTTTAAGACTCTAATTCGGATCGTTTCCTGTGCTAGAGCCCTACGATCTATCTATCTATTGATTATCTATTGTCCTTTACCACCTAATGTGTCATTTTTCCTATCTCTTATATTCATTCGTTGTCATTTTGCGTTCCAGCTTTGGTTGACTTTTCTGATGAAGAAGGTTACGGCAAGTACTTGGATCTTCACGAACCTTATGATAAATATATGAACATCAAGGGAATCGAGGTAATTCAACTACGTTAATGTCAGACTGAAGAGTGAAGGCGATTATCACTTCAGGGATCGAAAGATCTCATGATGTTCGGTGAACTTCATTTGAATTTTGTCAAAGTTGGTTTCGGAGCAGTCACCAATACACATAGTTGAGACTACAGACTTAAGCGTTTGACGTTCGTAGAAGAAAGCATTGCCATGCATCTCATGCCTGTCTTACTTTAGTTCTCTCGTGGAAATCTTCGTATGCTATATTGGCCAAACACAAATAAAATTGACATGTTGATTTGATGAAATGAACAACCTAATTAGGACACTTTGGCGTTCGAGAACTTTCACTATTTTCTTTTGTGTTGTCTAGAGAATAGACTATCTTGCGTATTTGGAAACATTCGACCGCTTGTTCGACATTCCAAAGAGAAGAAAACACACGAATACAAAAGGTGAAACTGAAATTTTGTTTCCATAGAAGCTAAGGCGATAGTCTAAATTCACCACAACATGGTTGCTATGAGTTCGCGTTTGCTATAAAGACTACTTCCGGGTACTTTTCTTGATAGAGTTCAACATATAACTCAGATTTTCTAGTCAAGTTGCAAATTATATAAAGATTCCGAGTTTATTTTGTCGTAATTTTCTGTCAATGCCCATTCCTTGAACAAGCACTACATATCTTATCTATATTTAATTTTCGCTTTATCACTTTAAGGTCTCCTTTACGCGAGTTTTGCTTCGATGCAGTAACTTTGTATTAAATAAGGTTTTCCTAAATCCGTCAGTCTGATTGGGTCCTCGATCACTTATTTAATTATGCCCACTGGATTGCGCTGATCCTCTTTTCCTAACTTTAGATACATCATCGTTCTCCTTGATTACCTTTACTACTATTGTCAACGTGTCCAACCGCTGGTCGATCTTGATAAGGTAAGCCGACATCATTGGTTTCACGTGCCTTTGACGTAGAAACTTTCATTGTTTTTAATAAAGGATCTTCTAAAACTGAAATGGACTTTCTTCGCAACATTTCTTTTTCGCATGCTTACTTTCAAAACGATTGAAGCTTTTTTTGATGAGTAAAGTAGATAAGCAGTTGTCCACCGTCCATGTATTCTCCCAACTAATGTATTCCTGCTAATGTTAAACAAATTGGCCGTACATCATGTATGTGATTAACTTCATTAGCAATCAAAACTTTGTCATAAAACACAGGCGAGTTTGTTGCGTAACAACGAAAATACACGTGATTTTTATCTTTTGTAATGGGCTGATCGCATGAGCCCGGTAGCCGGGATTCAGCCAAGCGTTAAATGATTTTGGCAAATGAACACGATTCAATACTTACCATCAGATAAATCTTCTCAAGCAATTTCGCAATATTCTGTATTAATGACTTCTCAAAACATTTAAAATTGAAACAATCAATTTGCCCTGATTTCAAATTTTGAGAATTACAACTGGAGTGACGTGTAGTGGCTTCGCAAACGTAATTTTAACCTTGAAGTTTTGGCTCCTTTCAATCGCTTGAAATCATCGGGCTAGCTCGCTATCCGGGCCAGCCATTGAAATAAAATACATGGAACACTGCCTTAATAGAAAAGTCTAATAAAATCTTGAAGCCAATTTTACACCCAGACACGCGAGATTACACCCAGACGCGCGTGTGTAGTTAATCAATTTCCAGAATCTCGAAACACTACACACGCATGTCTGAGTGTAATGTCGCGTGTGTGTAATATTTAGCTTCAATTATTTGCTTCAGATAGCGTTTCATGTATTTTAGTTCAATGGAGCCAGCTCGCCTCCATATAATCAGGCCCTAAATCAGAAAACGACCATAAGTTAGCTACGTAATTTACATATCACAAAAAATCCAACAGTTCCAGACGTTTCGTTTTAGGAAATGGAGGAAACCCAAGAAGAATTTGATAGAAACTGGGCGCAAGGATGATTTCCAGGATGGCCCGTGAGTGAAGGGGGATATTTAGGCCGTGCATCGAAGATTTGCTTTGTATCGCGCGTGTATGTATGATTTGTTTTTGGTTTGATTATTTATAGAAAGATACCGGAAGTGCTTTGGCGCAATCTGGGGCACATCTTGATCTGTGTGGTTTCTCATCTGCTGAGGTTAGTAAATGTATGACACTAGCAAAAGACATGTGAGGGTACGCATGCATGATATAACAATAAACAGTACTAGTATGGATACGCATTATATAAGGATAAGCACTATACTAGTAAGCACACGATAAACACAATACTAGTAAGGGTACGCATGATATAAGGATGAACACAATACTAGTAAGGGTACGCATGATATAAGGATGAACACAATACTAGTAAGGGTACGCATGATATAGGATGAACACAATACTAGTAAGGGTACGCATGATATAGGATGAACACAATACTAGTAAGGGTACGCATGATATAAGGATGAACACAATACTAGTAAGGGTACGCATGATATAAGGATGAACACAATACTAGTAAGGGTACGCATGATATAAGGATGAACACAATACTAGTAAGGGTACGCATGATATAAGGATGAACACAATACTAGTAAGGGTACGCATGATATAAGGATGAACACAATACTAGTAAGGGTACGCATGATATAAGGATGAACACAATACTAGTAAGGGTACGTATGATATAAGGATGAACACAATATCACGGTCACGTCAATTCATGGAAATATAAGCATCGTCAGCACACAGATAACGGAAACAATTCAACCTGCAACTAGACACGACTTTTGATCATCATTTATATGTTCTGTAATCAAAGGGTTCAAGCTCAAAAATTTGCGCACTGCTTCATCCCGCGGCAAGTGTGATTGCGCGCGCACGATCTTTCGTCATCTTAGCATTTCTCTAAGTCGTTGTTCACCACGTATTGTTTTAAGACTTTTTCACATTGTTGTCAATCGTCAAAAGGGATGAACATTAAACGCTCATCCTCATGAACAACGAGGGAAGGTCATGAAAACAGAACATTGTTAATGGGCCTTAATAAACCGCTCTTCCTGTAGTGTTGTTTTTACGAAACATTTATTTACCGTCAATAGTGTTGTTCCCAAGTCTGATATTTTCGAGCGTGACGAATTGCTTTCCCGGATGACGTTTTAGCTTATGCTAATTTAAAATTTACACTTTTCATTAGAAAAGCGATTGTCGTGCCATACAGACTTACTGTAGAATACCAAGTTATTCAATTTTGTATATGTCATTGGTTTGGCAATTCTGATGAAAGTTTTAATTCGTTATGACAATACCCATAGGTCTTCTTATCAATGGCAGAAGCCTTTTCCTTTATTTTTTAAGACTCTAATTCGGATCGTTTCCTGTGCTAGAGCCCTACGATCTATCTATCTATTGATTATCTATTGTCCTTTACCACCTAATGTGTCATTTTTCCTATCTCTTATATTCATTCGTTGTCATTTTGCGTTCCAGCTTTGGTTGACTTTTCTGATGAAGAAGGTTACGGCAAGTACTTGGATCTTCACGAACCTTATGATAAATATATGAACATCAAGGGAATCGAGGTAATTCAACTAGGTCGCATGCGTTTAGTTATGAAATTCCCGCCGCTGTTTTAAACCAATCAGTAATCAAAATGAATATTTACGAAAAGCAGCGTCAGCGATATGAATGGAACAATGAAAAATGACAAAACCATGGACAAAACTGACCAAAATTTGAAAATTTTGACATTAAACATTGACAAAATAACAAATCATGACAACATTATTATATTTAAAATAACTTTTCTACAATACATAGAGCAAAAAAGAAATAATTACTGGATCAAAATTCTTTTTGGATATCTATAGTTAAATCATTGCTTTCCTAAACATCAGTCTTTTGTGCTTATTTATAAATAGCCATAAACCAAAGATGCATACATGACTATATCTATTCATGTTAAATTTACCATTAACTTAACTATATCATTTATTATATAATATGAAGAAATGAAATAAGAAACAGAAATTATCTTTTACGCACAAATTAAAAAGGTGTGCATTGACTAACTATTTCACTAATTTGAAAAACTGGAGCTTTTACAAGTTACATAATAGATTAAGATAAAATTGAACTTTATATAAATTTTGGCACGTGTACCTGATGTGATTCTAAAAGAAAAATATCACACAATCTTAAACGTGGAACAAAATATATCAATTTGTTCAATGTACACATCTCCAGAGGAATTTAACAAAATCATAAAAACACAAATCATCGTTTTCTATAATCAAATTAAAAGCAGCCAATATAGAAATACAGATCGAAGGACAAAATGTAAATCTATCTAATGGCTGCTTGTCATTTATGTCTTCCACCGTGACGTCTCTTCGATGGAGTTTTCTTTTCAAGTTTATGAGCAAAACTTTCACGACAAATGGGACAGCGTGTTCTAAAGGACAGAAAAAATATTTCTCATAATCATAAAATTGACTGTTGGACAATGTCAGGAGATGACGTTCGGTATAACGTCAGTAGCGCATAAATGACGTTTGGTTTAACGTCAGTAATACATAGATGACGTTGGGTATAAAGTCAGTAATACATAAAGTTGGATTCATTTTTGGATTTTCGTTCAACTTACATTACTCTTCGAATCATTTCATTGGCGCATTCTTAATGAACTTTATGAGAACATGGTAATATTTGACAACCTGTGAAAGCATCCTACAATAAAATATTGAAAATATTTTAAAGATTTGGATATGAATTTGACTAAACATTACAAAATGAAACACGAGCAGCAACTATAATGAATATTTACCATTTGTAGCGGGGTAGAGATAAAATGAGACGGATTGTGTCGTAAGCAAAAGCAGTTTTACATGTTTGAAAATGTAGATCGTCTAGGTTGAAATGGGAAGGAGATATGAGCAAGCAAAAGAAAGCAAAATGTGTGTCTAAGAAGCTTAAACGTCTTGATGATAAGGTAAAAAATATTTAGTAGTTTTATTTGAAATGATCTTTGCGCTCATGTACCAGAGAGTTTTGATAGTTTGTTTGATGTGATACGGTAAAATCTAAAATCTCATCTTTGTGTTATTAGTTTCTTTTTCGAATATTTCGTAAATAAAAAACATCACGTTTCTCTACTTCCCAAATGCAATGTTTGTAAGATTTTGTACGATGAATTATGTGATTTTTTCTCCATAGAGATGTTTATAATGATCTCGTAGCTAAAGGACAGCTTATTCCTAAACCTGATAAAACTCCACCTACAGTCCCAATGGATTACAGCTGGGCACAGGTATCGTGGCTCACTGTCGTTAAATTTCTGCTTACCTTAAAGGGCCTATTTGTGAAGTTAACTCAACAATCTTGTAAAATCTTTTTAGGAGCTCGGTCTTATTCGAAAGCCCTCGTCATTCATGTCAAGCATTTGTGACGAACGTGGAGCTGAATTACTCTATGCTGGCGTACCTATTACAAAAATATTTGAGGTACATGTTGTTCTAAACAAAAAATCTGGAGTAGCGATGTCCTTGGTTATGGCAAATGGTCTTTACTTAGCGTCAATATTACTGTATTTTTTCTAGGATGACCTTGGAGTCGGAGGAGTTCTTGGACTTTGTGGTTTCAAAGGAGGTAATGCTTAGTTAGCTGAACTTACGAGCTGTGACTCGCCAAATAACAATAGACTTTCCACGTTTTTTACCAACCATTATTATTAAGTTTTTTTGTTATTGTACGTACGTTCATTAGGCTTCCAGCGTACGCCTGTAAATTCCTAGAAATGTGTTTGATGATTACCGCTGACCATGGACCTGGTAAGCTTTTCTTGTATGAAACAAAAACGACAAACAGCGGAGTATTCGCTGCAGCTAATTCCATCATAATGAAATGTTTTACTGACCGAAAATCAAATCAAACGTGGAATTGATTTTTTGTAAGCTTTAGTTTTGTTTTAAGCTGTCTCTGGAGCACATAACACAATTGTCACTGCTAGAGCTGGCAAAGATTTAATCTCGCTTGAAATGTTGATTTCTTGCACAAAATTTTCATTACTAACGCGTGTGGTGTTGTTTGTTATCGATATTTTGAATGACTTTATAATTTTTTTATAAGAAGTCACTAAACAAACGTCATTGTGTTGATATCACAAAGAGACGTAAACCTACCATTGCATCGTTCGTATTAATAAGGAAAGTGTTTGTTTAGGGTGATCGATTTGGAGGTGCATTGGACGCTGCTGCCAAACAATTTTCTGAAGGATCTGATAGTGCAATAACGCCAATGGAATTTGTAAACAATTACAAAGAGTCTGGAAAACTGATCATGGGAATTGGTCATCGAGTGAAATCGGTATTTTTAATGAGTCTGAGTGTTTTGTGTCAAATTTTTCTTGTCGATGTTTTCAGTATCAAATCTCTAAAATGTTGCACGAAATCATTTTTGTGCATTTTTAATAATTTTAGACTAGATTCTTCTTTCTATATCCCAGTCATAGTAGACTGTGCTATAATGATCAAACCGTTTATAAAAGTGTGTTGTATTTTAGATAAATAATCCTGACAAACGTGTTGTAATAATCAAGGAATTTGCATTAGCTAATTTCCCCATGAACGAAGTCTTGAATTTTGCTCTGAGCGTCGAGAAAGTCACTACGTCTAAGGTATACTTATATATCTAAGTAATGAACAGTATTGTGTTAAAGATGTTTCTATTAAAATTTGCACTTTTTCAGTCTTTCAACACAATTCCGATCTAAACGCAAACATTTTTACTGATGGTCGGCAAAATTTGCCATTGTTTAAGAATTGTTTTGGACTTTTCTGAAGATATTCTTGACGTGCATTTTTTTCAGAAACCCAATCTTATTTTAAATGTCGATGGATGCATTGCTGTTTGCCTTGTTGATCTGTTGAGAAATTGTGGATCTTTCACAAGCTGTGTGCCTCTGTACATTCATAGAACATTGCATAAATTACGTATTATCTACAAAGACAGAGAACGCTGTATGATCCTTGTACCTTATATAACTACCACAAATATTGCGTTGAAAATGTTTGAATTTGTTTGCTCACGAGTAAATTTATATTCAGACATATCTATTTCTGTAAACTTCAACGGTTAGCAAAACACTAACCGTTGAAGTTAGTGTTCGAGCATTGACCATTTATATAACGCCTGTTTTTCATTGTGTGTAAACAGGTCGACTGTTACAGGGACTGAAGAAGCTCTTTTAGCTGCGTACGTCTTCCCTCACTGTTTATATTTTCTATCGATGAGTTGATGCATCCCTAAAATATGATAAAATTATCTGGAATATGTTGCTTTTAAATTATTTGCGTATTTTGCGACAGCAAATGTCTACATAACAAAATACCTCCTTTATTATTACTCTTGCAAACTCTAACAAATATACGCCGCAATCGTGACCATTTTTTTGCCTTGCAACCTGAATGGTGATTAAATAACAACGTTTGTGACATATCCATACATTGACTTTATAGATCAATGTGTTTATGCTTATCAAACAATTACTCGACTTACATCCGCATAAATAGGCTCTGAAATGCTTCCCATGTGGTCTGACCATTGTTGCTCTTCTTTTATGTGTTGGAGATACCTTAACGTTAAAAAGCTGTTTATGAAGTTAGAAAACATGTCGGTACATATCAAAAGAGGCAACCTGTTAGTTCAGTATGTATAGAAATAACAACCTTCTTATGAGTAGATAAGATGCAGCTTTGTCACACTTTTGTCACAGAGCTCTTACCCGTGCCAGTTAGTTTCCAGTCCCCTGAAGTTGATCGGTGCGCGCGCATGTCAACCAGAAATAGGGTTTAATAAACATGGCATGGCATTGGATGGCGTGAAAATCGGAAATACGACAAAGCTGGAAGTTGCATGCTATTGACAAAGTAACATTAGAGCCGCCTTATGTTTTATTGGTTAATAAACCGGATCTATGTCATTGTGTATTCATTCTTCAAACTATATAGTCGAACTATCGTCTTAAAAAATGTTATTTGCGTTGTTTATTATTGCATTGCTTTTGGACGTTTTGAAAAAACAAAAATATGGCACACATGTTTAATCAGATATATGCAGACACTGTTGAGTTTGAAGAAGTTAGTCACAGTGATCTTATCAATTTGATTTTCGTCGATTTTATAAGTAAAAAGATTCAAGAGCTACGAAGAGCTGAAAAGGATGAAAGTAAAGCAGACCCTTGGACGGAGTATCAAAACGTTTTAGAAATGATGGCTGAGGAAGATCGGTGGTTCAATTTTGCAGCTCGTGCAGTCGAAACAATCAATCGCGAACATGTCTGGAATGGAATATGTGAAGCCTTTAAGTTTCTAAAGTACAGTGGACCTTCGAATTCTCACAAGACATATTTTGACAAACTGTTTAGTGTTACTTGGGTAGAACTAATGTTAATGTACACGGAGACAAAACGTCCTCCTTTTTATCAACATCTCTTTGACTATGCTGATTGTAGTTGTAAACTGAAATACAGATCAACTATGTAATTGCTTTGACAAAAAAATAAAATATAAATTTCAACGTTATTGCATTTTGTCTTCAGTTGTTTTATGACCATGTCATTGTGAAAATGGGGATCGGTAGCAGCAAACGTGAAAATAGAAATGCAAAAAGGGATAAAAATCATAATCGTCAGAAAATGTTTCGCTTGGGTATAAGTTTCGGACGCAACGATCTCAATCTTGAGGGTCATTTGCAAGCAGGATACACAAGTAAAACTGTTAAAATTATGGACCCGCCGCAATTAAACTTCCAACAGATAATGCGATAGAAGAAACACTGCCTGTAACTGAAAACATTGAACCCATCGATAATGAGTAGTTAAAAGAAATTGACATCTAATTGCAAAATTATTATCACGAGAACATTGTCATGAGTAACGTTGACCAGTACTTAGCCAGTGTATACTTCAATCCAAAACGCCCTGGAAGCTACGGAGGTGTTGAACGTTTGTACCGCGATGTAAAGGCAGAAGGAATATATGACATTAGTCGTGAAAGAATTAAAGAATGGCTCATGCAACAAGACGCATACTCTTTGCATAAACCTATTCGAAGAAAGTTTGAAAGAAATCGTGTCGTAGTGAGTGGTATTGACGACCAGTGGCAATTGGATCTTGCAGACATGCAATCTTTGCAAAAGTATAATGATGGTTATCGCTATCTTCTTATCTGTATTGATGTTTTTCCAAATATGCATGGGCTGTTCCATTAAAAAGAAAACAGGATCGTCGTTGGTAGAAGCTTTTAAAAGATTTTGTCATCAGGACGTAAACCGACACACATTCAAACGGATCAAGGCTCGGAGTTTTTAATCGAGACTTTAAGAAACTTTGGCAGAAGAAAACGTTACCTTGTTTAATACATTTAACGAGACGAAGGCATCCATCGTTGAACGTTTGATACGTACACTGAAAACTAAAATGTGGCGCTACTTCACAGCAAACAAAACAATGAGATACATTGACATGCTTCCTGATCTACTGTATTCTTATAATCATAGCATGCATCGCAGCATTAAGGAAAACCGATCAACGTTACAAGTGAAAATGAAGATAGAATTCGGCAAAATTTATACGGTGAAAGCAAACTAAATAAACCTACGCATGTAAATTATAAGTTTGATATTGGTGATCAAGTACGAATAAGTAAAATAAAACGAAAGTTTGAGAAGGGTATTTACCGAATTTTTCAAAAGAAATTTTCACTGTAAGTCAAAAATACCACGCAATCCTCCTGTATACAGACTGAAAGATCATGAAGGGGACGAACTTCAAGGAACATTTTATGAAAAAGAACTTCAAAAGTCATCAAGAAAGACGATGTTTATGAGATTGAAAAATACTTAAGAAACGTGGTAGAGGGGGCAATGTACAATATTTTGTAAAGTGGTCTGGCTACCCTAACAAATTTAATTCATGGGTACCGGCATCGGAAATACATATATAAAACGTAACCGTTTTCATGATTTTTCATTTCACATTATACCTTAAAGATGAGCGGGACACACTTCTATCTGACATTACCTAGTAATGCATCTCTCTGTATTTCCTGAGAATAAGATTTCAGGTTATCGCGTAAAACTACCTCACGTTGTGAATTTAAATGGTAATTGGGAAGTAGGACTGTATTCAATTACATATCCTCATACATGGTACACGTTGAAAAAAGGTTTGGATACACATATATATGTAACTCACAAAACAGGTCTACCTACTCCGGTATTTGTCGACTATGGCCTGTATGAAAAAGCCTTCGACCTAGTAAAATCAGTTAATGAGACTCTTTACAAAGAAGTAAAAGACAATATCAAATTGAGCTTTGACCCCCACAGAAAAATTAAAGTGCATGTAAGACAGGGTTACAAAATATCATTTAATCAACGAATGTCGGTCTTACTTGGTTTTGGCGGAAAAGACGTAGAGATTTTAAAAACAACCGAAAGCCCTTATGCTTCTGATTTGCACGGATCCGTCATGATGTATGTATATTGCAACATTGTACAACCGCAAGTTGTTGGAGACGTCAATGTAAAATTACTAAAGGCAGTTACCATTCAAGGAAAATATGGAGACATTGTTTCAAGAACATTCACTAATATCCAATACATACCCGTGCAAACAAAATCTTTTGAGGACATCGAAATTCTCTTAAGGGACGAGTTAGGAAACCCCATCGCATTTGAACGAGGGAAGTCGATAGTGACACTTCATTTCAGAAAGCAAGCTTCGTCTTATTTTACATAAGAAATATGACTCTAACAAATCGTTATGTTCAATATTATCTCAACCAACAACGAGGATACGGTTCATCGCCTGTGTTTAAAGGAGCACCTTGGCAAAGAGGATATGGGCAAGTGGGTTATGGTCTTGGTGGCTTATTTCGCAGTTTAGCTAGAGCTGTAATACCTCTGGCAAAAAGCGGTGCAAAAGCTCTGGGTAAAATTGCTCTTAACACAGGAGCAAACGTTTTAGGCGATGTTATCTCCGGGAAAAGTGTGAAAGAGTCTGCAAAATCGAGAGTAAATCAGGCTGCTAAAGATGGGGAAAATGGCTGTAAACAGAATGCAGCAGTTTGCTCAAACAGGAAGAGGAAAGTCTTCAAAGAAACGGTCAAGAAAACCAGCTAAAAAGAGAAAGGCGACGACCTCCATTGCCATTCACAGTTCAGCCAAGAGACGTAAAGCAGCTAAAGAAGCGGAGGACATTTTCGGCTAAATATGGATTTCGTTCATCCAAAATCTGCAGAATGTACAAAAACCGAACTTGATTTATTTTCTGTCCCACCAACACAAGTCAGTTTAGAAAAGGGCATTGGATTGATCATCAACCTGTGTCCAGCGTATCTGAAAATGGACCAATTACATTTTAGCGCCCGGCACTGAAGATTATGTTGACATGTCTAAGACAATATTGGTAGCTAGAGCGAAAGTAACAAAAGCCGATGGTGGGGATATCGATGATGACACTAAAGTTGGACCTGTAAACAATTTCTTGCACAGTTTGTTCAAGCAAGTTGACGTGTTTCTAAAAGGAAAGTTAGTTACACAAGCAACAGGAACATATCCATATCGTGCATATCTCGGCACACTTTTAAATTATGGTCCGTCAGCCAAACAATCACAGCTCACCGCTGCGTTATTTTACAAAGATACTGCAGGTCAGATGGATAATGCAGATCCTGCACGCAAGTCCAAACAGGGTTTGAAGACAAGAAATAAGTTTATCATGGGAAGTAAAATTGTTGATATGGCAGGTCCTATCTTTTGCGATGTTTTCTTTGGTGAACGTTACTTACTTAGCTATGTTGATTTGAAAGTGGTCATGAACCGTACCAGTGACGAATTTGTCTTAATGTCATCGGTGGACGGTGCAGCCTTTAGAGTGAAATTGATAGATGCATACCTTAAAGTTCGTAAAGTCAAAGTGAATCCTAGTATATCTCTGGCTCACGAAGTTGCCCTGAAAAAAGGTCCAGCCATTTACCCTGTAAGACGTGTGGACTGTAAAAGTTTTATTATTCCTTCTGGAAACCCTTCGCTGCAAAAAGATAACCTTTTCAATGGTTTAGTGCCTAAATCGTTTGTTTTTGGTCTTGTTGAAAGTGCGTCATTCAATGGAGCTTATAAAAAGAACCCATTCAATTTCCAGCATTTCAACATTTCATCGTTAGGCATTTCAATAAATGGTGAATCTGTACCATTTAAACCAATCAATTTGTCCTTTGGCGCGAATCCGAGATTTATAGAAGCATTTCTATCGCAGTTTTCAGGCACTGGGAAAATGTATTACGACACAGGCAATGGCATTACGCGTGAAGATTTCCCAAACGGTTTTGCCCTGTTCGGCGCGGACTTTACCCCGATATGTGCAGTGCATCCGAACATTTTAACACGGTGCAAAAGGAAACCTGGCCATTGACTTACAATTCACGACACCGCCAACTCATGCAGTTAGCCTCGTTTGCTATGGAGAGTTTGAAAATATAATACAAATCGATGGAGAGAGAAATGTCGTTTATGACTACATTGGATAAATGAACACCTCACAAATATGGGCCGCTTTGAAATCCGATCCGGTAACAGGAAAAAATTTCTCGGCGTTTTTCCAGCCGATCGTCTGCCTAAAGAAATCGAAAGCTACCCAAAAGGATTTATCGCAAACACGGATGTAAGCGGAAAACCGGGGACCCATTGGGTTGCCTTTTACTTTCCTTCAGAAGAAAAAGCCGAATTCTTCGATAGCTATGGACAACCACCAGAGCGATATCATAAGTTCTTTAGAGATTATTTGAAACATTATGATTGGGGGTTTAATAAACGTCAATTGCAAAGTATCTGGACGGATGTATGTGGACAATATTGTATATTTTACCTCAGCCATAGAGTGCGAGGATATAGCATGAATAAGATTGTAAACATGTTTGATGGTAATACTGTTGAGAACGATAACAAGGTATCAAGTTTCGTTAGCAGACATTTTCATATAGAAACTAGTGTAACCCTAAACGATAGCATTCAGTCAAGTATAAAATTTGTTGTAAAAGCTTGAGCCGTTTATTATCAATAAAATTTTCTTTGTGTAAACTAATTGCCTGTGTTTTCTATTTGCATATTCTAATGATAACAGTCAGGAAATTGATATCAACTGCTCTATTTATTTAAACAAAACAAATCTTTACATGTCAAATTTTAATAGTCTATCCAACGTAAGCGAGTTTTCTTTAGTGTAGGGCTGGCTTTAGGTGTTGTCATTTTGTTCTTGAGCCTCTGTGGTAGGCTATTCCGTCTTCTTCATCGGGCGAAGTTTCCATTTGAGCTTCTTCCCATCTTACATCGTTCCGAACCAAATCACGAGGAATGTTTATTTTGATAAAACGCGAAAGAATTCTCTAGAACCTGTAGGATTGAAATTCTTTCTCCCTCTTACGGCGTCGCTAATGAGGTCTGATATATTTGATTGAGGGATAATAACACCGTCAAGTTTGACTTGTCCTGAATCATCCCAAGTTATTATATCTGGTTTTGTTTTGAGACGCTGCAGTATTGCTGTTGCGCGTTCACGCATCGTCTTCGGCACACTTTGTACAATGACGGAGTCAGCTAATGTACGCACTTCGTTGTTTATTACCGTGTTTCTTTCTTCCCCGTCGGTTGTATCCATCACGCGTACTGTGGGTATCTGAATATCTTTTTGTTTCTTCAAATTAAGGAATTGCTCAAAGTTTGTGTTAAAAGTTTTGCCTTTGATCGTCACTTAAACCGTCTTGGTGAAGGATGTGTGAGAGTTGAGTATCTTTTTGCATCATGTTCATCGTAATTGGCGAAACTTCAAATTTTTGCTTTTGTTCATATTTATTATAAACGTCTTCAGGTACTAAAATCATTCGCTTGGCATGCTTCATTATTTCAGCAAACTCCCTAGAACGTTCAAAACCGGTGGTAGGAAGGCGCTCAGTAGATTTCCTCCTTTTTGATTTAAAAGTTTTTCTTTTAGCTCTTGAAATTCTCTTGTTCGCTAAGGCTCTGAGATGTTTCTTATACCTCAACAAGCGTCGTTTTTACTCGCAGATATCGGTACAGTTCCTTTTAACACATTAACTGCGCATTCACAAATACACAACATGACATCAGATGGTCCATGTTCGATGATAACCTTTCGAATTTTCGGCTTAGATTTTGCAAGTACTTGTAGGTATGGAAGATTGCTCCTAATTCGTTTAGACATGGTGCTTAAATGACTGTTGATGTCGATGCTTATCACTTATGTACATAGACAATCTGCTTTTCACCGGGCAAGATATTTGTTCTGACACGCATATTGTCAGATGTGAGTTGATGCAAATCGAGCAAAAGATAACCGTAAGGGCGGCATGTGGCGTCTTGAAATGACTCCAAAAGGTAATTCGTTTTCTTTGGGTACATTTGGCGTGCCAATGTTGCGATACCTAGCGAATCTCTGGGGTTTTTAAAAATGATCATGTAGTGGGAATTTAAGCTGATTGTTCGGGATTGTTTACCAGGCGGAAATAAATTTTGTGTTAGATACATGACAGAGACGCCACGGTGATGTGACCCGCGGGTAAATAAATCGGACATTCGTTGATCGCTAGAACATTCTGACATCAAATCGTCAACGACCACTAAAGAGTTTTGACAACCTTCCAGAATATCAAATAAGTTGTCCGGGAATCCTTCGACGAAGCAAATGTTTGGAATTTTGATTCCATTTCACCAAATTCACTTTGCCGTTCGCCGTAACAGTAAATAATTTTATTTGGAACAGGATAAAAAAGTTCATTTAAATTATAAAGCATCGACCTAACCAAATAGCTTTTGCCCGACTGACTTTGACCACACACATAAAAGTTGGCAGGTGTTCTAAAACGTACGTCCATTGTCTCGCAAATAAAAGCAAACATGCTCTGCTTTCACTTTTATAACCACTCGCGCTAGTAAGCATTTTGACATATTCAAAGAAAGACGGTATGATTCGACTAGCTTGAATGGGAGGTATTTGTAAAATAGTGAACAAAGTGCACACAATAAGAATACATTGGACAATGAACAATTTTATTAAATATTTTTCTAATTATCTACATCAATCAAACAACAAAAATCTCTTTTGATTATATGAACACATCATACTTTAGCAGATATTTATGACAGAAAATTTTAAAAGCACTTGAGGGTTTACTTTAAAATCCTCACAAGCATAGGCATGTCTTTTAATCGTTCATTCATTTTGTAACTACATTCATAGTTCGCAACATTCATATTTCACAAGAGTTGTTTGTAACTTTTCCAATTTTCCATAATGAATTCCTTGCTGTCTGTATGTTTTTTCCTTATGGCTGTGCAAACCACGGTGAAAAATGCGGTTATGTGAAGCGATATCATATGTTAGATTGTTCTAACATGGATCTGAAGCATGTTCCTATCGGAACGGTAAAAGATGCACGAATACGGATTTTGTCGTTGAAACGAAACAACATTAAAGCTGTGAATGAACTGGATGTTATTCGTGCGTACCCAAGACTTATGTACATTGATTTACGTGAAAACCCTCTGTCCTGTCCTGTCAATTTCTCAATGTTAAATGTGTTGTTTGATCCGTGTCCAGCCCGAAAGAAAGATTTATATTTGTTGTCGGTGAACTCATTTTCGTCTGTGACACAACTTTTTCCGTATACGTCAACCACAAGCAATCGTTTACCTCAGTCATCAGTCAGTTTTTCTCTTCTACCATCGTCGTTGATTATGTCCACCCCGTGTAAATCATCTCACGTTCCGTCGTCCCGCCAAAAGTTTTATGTTCGCCCCTCACGGATTTTTTTTTTTAACATGTCAACCTCATCACCGTCGCTGTTATTATTGTCTACATCTTTGCTGTTGTCGCCGTCCACGCCGTCAATACCTCCACATTCAACGATATCATTCTCAACTTCAAAGTCATCACCTCTGCTGTCGTTATTACCACTGTTACCCTCACTATCACCATCAGCATCATCACCATTTCATTCGCAGCTGTCGTCTTCGTCTTTATCGTTATCACCGTCACTGTCAGAATCAATGGTTTCGTCTTCATCGTTCATGTGTTTAGTTCCACCAGCGAAAGAAAAAACTGTCAACTTTTATGTGTTGGTTCCTTCTACGATAGTTTCCATATTTGTCTGTATAATGTTGATGTATTGCATGGTTCGCAATTGTCGTCGCTGTTTCCCGTCTGTACATACCGATCACATAGAAATGACTGCGTATCGTGTTCAACCATCGTTAGCCTTGTCCAGTGTAGAAATGTGTCAAACAACCTCAGTCTAAAAATATGTATATTTGTTTGTTAGTTAACATGTCATTGATTCGAAACTGTTTAACTATTCAACGCTGTTTGATTATATGCATGTCACTTTATTAATTTACCTGTCTCGACTCTATACTTGATTATCAATCTGTCTGTAAAACGAAAGTTCATTGTCGGAGTGATCAATGTCGTCAAGAAACTCCACATCGGATTGTCTTTCGGAAAAGCTTTCTTCGTCTTCAGAGTCGGTTTCCATTAAATCAATCGACTCGCTACATTCACCTTGACCTGTCATACATTCTTTGTAATTTTCTAGTGCGGTTGGATGCACGGATGTGAATAAAATATCATTAGCCATGGCTTCGCGTGCGATCTGAGGTAAACTGTTGGAAATTTCCGCTGACGGAAACCAATTATAGCCATAGGGAATGGTATTGGCCCCTCCGTCTATTATTATACGTTTGTCAAAGACAACTTGATATTTCTTAATTTGATTTTTATTTACAAGTTTATGCGACCATTTCTCCCTGACTATTTTACTTTCTTCTATTTGTACAGTTGACGGTTTTTCAACATAATTATAAATCATATCTTTTAACGTGTCGAAGTTTAAAAGCAAGCTATTTTTAAAATTCAATGTAAAGCCTCTTATTTTACAGTGTTGCTCGCCGTTACTAACTGTAAAAGCATAATTCTTAGGACCCCCACAGACAAATTCAGTAATGTGCTCGCCTTCACCAATTTCATCAGTCAAATCTCCTAAATAGTCTCCTAAAGGAGGCTTTGGAGAATCAGGCTTTGCAACATACACACAGCTGTCTGTGTCTGCATAGAGCGAATTTTCTCCTAGTAAATCTAACAAACTGTAGAGCTCCAAACGCGCCCATGCAGTTGTAAAAATACCTATAAAAATATTTGTTGTTTTATTTTCTTTTTGAAACTCCCAATCACGCTTGTATACAACTTCGACTAAATCGTCATTCAGTAATTGCATGTCGTGAATTTCAGTGTCTGCACTATTTAGTCGTTTGTAAAATACAAGCGGATCGTGAATAAACTCCGTAATTAACATATCATTACGTTGTGCAAATTTACCCCAAAGCGAGTTTAAACAAAGTTTTGCTAGCGCTCTTAACCCTGGATTTTTCAAAATTTTTTCCTTACGCAATTGAATTCCCTCGTGCTTTAGATAGTCGTCGATATATTTTGCCTGGTCTGCGTCTGAGTTTACCTAATCCGGAAATTCCGAAGCTTCTTGTTTCAACCGCAAAAAGAAATTTACATATTCACTAAATAAACTGTCCGATGTTTCTTCAAAATGCCAAATTTCATGCACCTCCAAAATTTTGTAGCCTTTTTCAATTGTCTTGTTCATTTCAATGGTCGTAGAAGTCCCGCAAAATGAACACTGGTTTTCGGAATGATGACATTCTGCCGAGGAATTTACAGCACATCGCTTACACAATGGAAACATTAATTTACCATTAACTTTCATCGGGAGCACGGGATGATACAAGCCTGCCGGTGCCAAAACGCGGCACTTAATCAAACCGAAGTAATTTGAAAGATCTTCAAAATTTTGCGAATAATTGTAGGGTGACCTATAGGATAACGGCGATTTTTCATAACGAATGGATAAAGACTTGTAAAATCGTTATAAAAGATTTTCTCATTTTCTTCGGCCTTACGAAACAGTTTAAAACCCTCAACTCTTCCACCAAAAAAGCTATCGGCAGGGTAAAGGTCTGTTATAAATTCATGTGTGTTTAAAAAATGCTGCATTTGAGGAGTTTGTCTGAGTTGCTTGAAATCATGCTCCCATATGGTTTTTACTTTATATCCTAACTCCGTTAATCTTTTTTCACGCTCAATGGTTCGGTTATATGCTTCTCTTAGCGTTGTACCTGTACGGTAAGGATTTTCACTCTTCAAATCCAGGCATAAAGGGCAGCCGTGATAAACTTTTCCGTAGAACTCATACACGGTGTTTGTGTCTTCACAAAATCCATCGACATAATAATGTTTGTTTAACAACGAGTCATAAATAACTTTCTCCCCATTATGAAGAGCGTGTTTGATATTGCTTTTGTTTGAAAGGAAACAAACTCCAGCCACTCAATGGCACTGTTTGAATACGGTTTATTGCTATCACGGTAAAATTCTTAGGTACAATGCCAATGGTTTTTCTTTTAAATAGTTTGAACGAAACACTGCCATGACCGAAGACGCAATTGTACAATAACAAAATGGGTCTACATGTGTTTCGGCCAAAACAACTTTCTGAATTCCATGCAACACAAACGCAAAATAGTTACATCTTGAGAACAGTATTTGTACATTTCTTTTTGAAAGTCGAAAACGTATCCCTCATCAATTAAATTCTGATGCCATGCAATTAGCTCATCTCTTTTACATTTTGACTTTGTGTCGGGGCTATAATATTCAAGAGCCGGAATAGGGCCAACGTATTTCTGATTTTCTCGTGTGTTAAATTTAAAAGGGAAATCGCCTTTCGAATACATCGACAGATCTAATCCAAACGTTCGAGGCAAATCGGAAAGAGGCATACTTAGGAAGTTTAACGAGTCGATTAGCGTCATCTGATAATCTTTTAAAATAGTTGCATTACTTTCTGACCAGAATGAATGACATGCATATCGGATGTCGGCCGATATTGTATGAGCCATTTTTGAATGATAACAGCGTCAAATCCTTTGGCATTATGGGCAATTGCTGTATAGCCTATATGCTCTCTTGAAAACAGAAACTCACAAAAATCATTTAACGCATTGTATCCTTTGAAAACACGTTCGTCACCTGAAGCGAACTGTAAAACTGCAAAATTCACAACGTGCTCACCGCTTGTAAAATCCGTTTCAAAATCGTAGAAAATGAGTTTACATTTGGCTTTTTGCTGGTTCGGGTTGAATAAAACATAAATGCCCACTAGCAACCAGCTGTTTGCAGATATGACACTTAAATTCTCCGCACTTGTGTTCGTCTTGTCTATTTCTGTTGACAATGACATTGCATGTACGGCATTTATACGTGCTGTCACATTTTGAGGGAAGATCAAGTCCTTTTAATCTACGTTGTTTTTTATGTAGGTTGTAACATGCATTTGACCGGCATGACTTATAACAGTCCGAGCATTCCCGCTGTTCCGTCGGAATTAATGCACATCCTTTGCGTAAACATGTGCTGCAGACATCAAAACATGGGTGATTAATATAGTTGTTTACAAAGCTTGAACAATGTTCACAGTAAAATCTTTTACCGAAAAAGCTGGGAGCTTTGCCGGATTGATAACATTGAAATGATCTCCGTGTTTGTATAGCAATAGCTTCTTTACTCTTTAGGCCCTTCATAAATTGAAGTGTTTCGTGCATCAAAGTCTATTACAATAATTTGATAGTCTGAAAGAACACCTTGAAACTTTGAAATTTCCCTCAATCCACATTTACCAGGCAAAATATTGGCACGTTTATGCAACTTTAAGGCTAATTTTTTTTGTATAGGTCTACCCATCTTCATTTGTTTTAATTTTGGATGGTGGTCAGCCATCCCTATGGCTACAACTAAAGCCCGAGCACAGCATAGGTTATCATCATTCTTGATAGTTACAATCAATTTTTTTAAAGTACTGTCTTTAGAGTAATCTAAGACTTTGAAGGCCTTACCACTCCCAACAGGCGCTTTTACGCCAATAAGGTCGATGATGAACGAGTTGTCCAAAGGAATCTTCTCATTTCTCTGCAAAGTTTTTGTAATTTCACCCAAAATTCTGTTAGAGTTAATTTCAGCGGCAGGAAGAAGCTTAGTGCTGATTGGTGTTTTCAAAGCATCCGTTCTAATCATTACACGAAGCCGATCTTCCAATGGTGTTCTAAAATCACACTGTTCTTTTACCTAGGAACATTAACATAAAATTAAAAGATGCTTTGTGTCACACAGCGCTTTTTTTCACTCTTACCTGACGAATGGCGTCGTCAAACAAGCCATCGAGCTCAGTCATTATGTCTTTGACTTTTATTTGCTTATCGCGAACGGATAGATCGTCTAGCTTAGCACGGAATATACATGACTTTGCGCCAAATTTACGAACATATCGTTCCGAAACTTTTTCAAGCACAAAGTTAACAGATTTTTCATCATTTTTAGTTTGATTTTTTATGTTGTTTCTTTCTTCCACAAGTTCAACACTTTGCTGCAACAACTTCGTTGATTTTTTTACCCATTTTAACACTTTTGAAATATCCGTTTTATCTTTAGAGATTTCTTTCTGAACTTTTTTCAGCAAACGTTTTGCCTTTACATTTTTTCTGATGGCTCGAACACGTAAACGCTCTAGATACTCTTTTTCTCCCATGATCATCTGGCGATGATTTTCATGCAGTAATGGCAATTTGTGAAATCATGCTTTATTTTATAGTATATGTTCATTGAACTCCTACAGAGTAATTGAATACTTACAAACAGACAACATATTCAGGTGTTCAGGAAGGTATTGTATGTGTAATGAACAAACACTCAAAGCGATACATTAAAAAAATTTATTGCGTGAATTTTTTATAGTTACAGTGATCAACCGTTGGTGCATGCATTGTTGTTATTGCTTAACGTTTCGTGTTTATTCATCGTCCTGGAATGGGTTGGTCCTTTTTTTCTGTTTCTTAACGGCGACCGTTTTAGGTTCCTTTTCTTTAGGCTCTTTCCTCTTACGGTCATCCAGTTCTACCTTTCTTTTTTTCATAATGATCTTGCTATTCATAGTCGCGTCGCCCCAATGGAAGAAGCTACATTTTTCTCCGTCGACGATAGATTGACAACGAAAATAGGGTCTTTATTGCTCGATTGGGAGACCATGAGACTACCTGGATAACCGCATTTGCACAGGGGGAACTTGTTTGGTTTGAATTCTTTCGCGACTTTCGTTTCGTAGGCATCCATTATATTATGGTACCTTTCTTCGTGGCAGAACAATGTGCATCCTTCACCTCTACATTTAACATACGCCCGTTCGTCCTTCTTAGACACGATTCTCTCGAGGCCTGCACCACAGAAACATGGATATTTCTCAATGGAAACCATGATGTTCAAATTATTTGCTCTCCTAACACAGATTTAACACGTTTATGAAGCACTGTTCAAGTTGTGTGTGCAACAAGAACATTTTCCACCTTTTTTAAAGTGTTGGCCTTCACATGAATAATCATTTACCAACGCATGATTTTCTTTAAAGAAGAATAGGTCTCATTCATACTGTGAGTAAAGAATTGAATAGAATCACATTCAAGTGTAAGACTCACGCTTGTTCAAATCAGTAACCCCTTTTGGTACATTGTTTGATATCTTTCCTGAGGGTCTCATCATTAATTAACTGCATCACTTTCCTCTGTATGATACCCTCCCACACCGCAGGATCTTATCTTCACAACATGATTTTTCTTTTTAATTTCCCTTCAATATTGACTCATGTTCAAACCGATACTTTATTCACATTGTCAGGCATCTTTCCTAGGGTCATTTACTGTATCATGTCGGTATGTTAAAGGCTCTTTTCATTTCCCTTTAATATTGACTTTTGTTCATGCCGCTCCTTTATTCACATTGTCAGGCATCTTTCGTTGGTCCTTATCATTTACTGCATCATTCCCCTCAGCAGGATTCTGCACCGATCTTACCCACGCCTCATTATTCAAGGTCATACTATTCAATGGTAATTTTTAACTTACACGTGCGAGATGGCAGCGAAGGTCACATCTCAAACGCATGCGCTGTGTACTTCAACCACTTGAAATACTAAAAGTGTTTTGTATGTGTTAAGACGATAAAAACTCTGCAAAAAATCAAGACACGCAAATCAGAAAATTTTGCAGAATGGCATCGATGCAGCAGACAGAATACCCTGAAATTAGTAAGTGCGAGCTCTTTCTGTTTATTTCAAATTAGAGAATGTTTTTATCTTCAACAGAATCTATCTCCTCGTTTTCAGAAAAATGTAATCGCTGTGTGATTTTTCATCAAGGCTAAATGTGGACATACTGTCCATTTGTCCCCGTTAGTGGAGTCACGGGGAAAATTCAAGTGTAAATTTGCGGGTTTGTATGCCTTTAAAGATATTTTAATCTCAGGTTGCGTTTCATGTCATTGATTTTTAGTCTTCATTCATGTAGTGTATCGGACGCAAGTGTTGATGCCGCTGTCCGTCAATTTGTAATGTAAGTTTGTAATTCATGGGTGCGTTTATATATAAACTGTCATACGGAAGCAGCAATTTTATATGGTGGTTCTTATTTCATTCATTCAGAAAACTGTGTACAGAGGGCATCATGATTGACGTTCAGATTTAATGCAACAAATATTTAATGTAACAACATGAATAAAGATTTACAAATGTTGAATGACTCGTTTTTTAAGTTTGTTCATTTTATCTGAAAGAAATATTTTAAGCCAGTCGTTACAAGTATATTTTAGTATCTCAAGTCCGTTAACGGGTGGGTCGACATCTTCAATGCTTTTCATAAAATCTTTGATCACAATCTCATCGGCACATTTTTCGAGGCATCATCAAAATGCAACAACATACGCTCGTCATGCTCCATCATGAGACAGCCATGCTCACGCTGAGAGAGGTGGTCAATCATGCATCCATTGCAGTTCTTATTTACTTCAGCGTTTATCATTGCAGCAATTTCTCCTGCATAGCAGTCTAAAAGTTTATTTTCTAACAAACTTTGACGTACAGTTATTTCATTCTTTTCTGACTCCAAAAGCAATTTGTTCATTCTTAATGCCAGATCAATGTCTACATTCAATTCCATTTGTTTCAAGAGATAAAATGTAAACCTTTCGATAAAGTATAAGCTATAAAATGCAATTACCTCGTTTTCTACCGTTTTTACCTTCGATTGAGAAAAGGAAACGGATCTAATGTTACTTTGTCAATAGCATGCAACTTCCAGCTTTGTCGTATTTCCGATTTTCACGCCATCCAATGCCATGCCATGTTTATTAAACCCTATTTCCGGTTGACATGCGCGCGCACCGATCAACTTCAGGGGACTGGAAACTAACTGGCACGGGTAAGAGCTCTGTGACAAAAGTGTGACAAAGCTGCATCTTATCTACTCTTATGTTTGAAGCAACAGTTTTATTCTTCCAACCCATGCTGCACAACACGTATAAACAACTTGTCAAAACTTCAAAGACCACTAGCCACCAATGTGTCCTTTAAAATATATCATGTCTCAAGTATCTCATAGAATTGAACTGTAGAAACTGATTTTCTTTGTAAAATTCTTACATGTCGCAGACTGGTATAAAAATCATTTTATATTGATACATGTTCTTAGGTGTGTATCTCCTCACTCCATGTAAGTTGCATCCCGAAAGATCTAATGGTCGCTTTGATCTGAAAAAATTGCAAATATTATAACATGTAATTATCTCTAGAATCTAGGGTGAAATCTTAACCGGACACTTACACGTGTCCTTTCATGAGTAGTTTCTGTTGGAAAAAACTAGAAAAGACATAATATTGTTCCCCATCGTCTTTTCTTTCTGCCGTTTTGCATTAATACCTATTGCATTCAAGAAATTTAAGTTAGCTTGTAATGTTTTTATTGCTTCCTTCTATATGTTAGATTTGAATCATTTCACATTACCTTAAAAAAAGTCAATTATGGTATCACACAACCACTTGCTTCCATTTAATGTTTCGACATCACTCTTGTATATTACAATGCCATCAAAACAGTTCACTCTAAAAAGGCATTGATGCTACCTTTGTCGTTTTCCTTTTTGTCAAATATTTTCAATATATGAATGTCACCTTTCACTCTCTTCACTGCATTCTTTCCTGTCAAAGATATAGTTTTCTATTATCGTCAGGAATTTTCTTCACTTATTCAATAGAAACATTTACATGAGACATTCAATTTTTTATTGACCTGATTGTAGTTGCTGGCTTTTTTCTTCTAGTCGGTCTCTTTTCAGATGTTTGCTCCATAATACATAACTATTTTGAAAAGTTATGCCAACTGTCAAACTAAAGTAGCCTATTCCTCCGTTGTCCATAACTTGGCATAAACACGGAAAATAGATATGGAATAGTTCAAACTGGGGACTCCATATTTCCAATGACGCACGAAGTGCTCCAGCAATGCATTGAACATGCGTGTTAGTAAGGGTAACATCTAAAAAAGGGAATAATTTGCTTGTCATGTAGGTTTTCTAAATTTGTTTAATATTAAAGAATTTTCTTCGTGATTTGAATTTTGAGAATGTTCACCTTCAGTGTTGAAATCTTGTATTTCTTTTATAATTTCTTCATTTGAAATTGCTTTACTTGTTTGTCGTGAGCGCTAGAAAAAGATGTGTTTCTTTTATAAATAAAAAAACTTAGAGATTTACGGAGCAAAATATTACTTCGGATGCCAAATGACATTGATGTGCAACTCCGTATCGAAATGAATCGAGTTGAAGTCTATTGGGATCAATGCTTAAAGCGTTGAAAATGTCTCAGGACAACTTGTGTCGTAATCATGTGGAACGCCCATGAGGTCTTTTCGTGTGACCTACTCAAATATTATTAAGGAATCAACAAATTGTCATTTAGATTAGAACCGTTCAATCAGTCAATAAACATTAGCATTTCATACTTTAAATTTTTCGTAATAGGATGTTGATGTGTATCAGCTAAGTCCAACAATTCGTAGGCTGTTTCAACATATTTTAGGGGGTCTTTTAACATTGCGCGAACAATACAAGCTATTTCTCTCTAAAATGGATTGTGGTATCGTTTTGAAATTTAAAAACTAAATGTGAGTTTCTAAAAGTTTTCTTACTTTTCGTACATGTCTCTCATCTGTTGTAAATTCACTAATTGTGTATCCTCTTCCTGATGGGTATAGAAAAAAACGTTCATTTTTGGTGCGCTGTTTTTTGTAATTTCCTGGACGTTCATTTACCCTTTCATCCTCTTTTATGTTATTTAATGCAGCTTCGTTATCAACAAATTTGTTTTCGAAATCTCCTCTTTTCTCGCTCTCATCACTTCTTTTATCTTCTTCGCTTGTATACGTATCTTTTCCAACATTCGCATCTCGATTAGTTTTCTTGGGAATAAAAGCAAATAGCAGTTCGTGTTTAAATGTTCTTATATTATTTCTTAAAAGATGGTTAGTGTGTACCTCTTGTCTTCCTTGACAAATGATTGTGTTGTCTCTTCATTTTTTTCATGTCCAGTAAACTAATTAAACAAAAGTTAAGAGAAGCAGTGAGTTGTCTTCTATATACTAAATCTACAACAATAATACTCACTTCATGAACGTATTCTCCATACGATAGAGCGATCTCTATCAGTTCTTTCTTATTTAAAATTTTTCTCGAGCGTTCTGTTTTATCATCAAATTCTTCTTCATCGTAATCATCCTCTGAGAATGGTGTACAATATGTAAATAAAAACAATGAAAATATTGAAGATTGATTCACTTGATTTACCTGAAGGTTGATTAATCCTGGCAGATGGCGAAACAAATGGGATGTGAGGAGGCCAAAACAACGGTTTCTCTGCTTTAAGCCGAAAGTCTCTCACTCTAGCCACTTTCCACTTCCGTTTTCCTTTCTTGTCTAAAACCAATCTTGAATTTACGAGGTCTGCCGTTGTATATCAGAAATTAGTTACTCACAAATATACAAAAATAGTTTTTACCGATGTCAGCTGTTCTTGGGAGAACCATATTTAAAACCAGTTTCCGTAGCTCTTTGCACGACCAAGTCCCTTGTTTTATTTCTTCCAAAGCATCAGGATCAACAAGATCAGAGCGTATCTCCTGCACTTGATAAACGTCTTCACAGTTTTCTTTTCTTCTTAGTACTTGGGGAGTCAGTTGTAATCAAAGAATTGTCTTCAACATATTTGCACATGGCATCTCGGGAAATATTCAAGATTTCTCGACGAAGGCCGGGCGTTCCTGTTTAAATGAATTGATTACATTACTTCTATACCGACAATCGTATTTTAAACACAAAAGTAATCCAATTCAATTCTTAACTTCTACACAAGTCTAAAATCTTTTTGATAGAAGAATTACCTGCAGCTTTAACCTTTCCATGTCCATCAAGATATAGCAAAACCATCGGATTGAGGCTCTTCTCCGATGACATTAGATCAATCTAAAAATATTTATAGAGCATGTGATTTATAGCTGTTACATTTCAAATTTAGTCAATATTTTCTGCATTAATCAAAGAGTGTACAAAAAGTTTATCATTCTTTTACCCTGTCTGCAATACGTTTTTTCTTTCTGTACACATTGTGCGCTTCACTTTGAGAAATCGATAGCTCTTTTTTCTTCAAAAATAAACATGACGTTCAGATAGAACTCTGGTTGAGAATTCATTTACTGTCAACGTACACATAATCTTACCGGTCACTTGCTTTTTAGAATAAACTTTTCCCCTCGTGAATTTACTTTACTTTTTATATTGGAAGACATCTCAACAATCATTTGAAGCAGGTTTCAGTAAATAAGCGACCTAATCAAATTCTAACAAACCTTGCAGAAATATTAAAGCAAATGTTTTCGGTGCCAAATAATTTATAACGGATCGAGATGCAGCTATTTATTTATCCTGTGCGTCAAAGAATTTAAGTGTGATTTGTCACATTAGTGTTTCTATAAATGATCGCTTTAGGTGGATGAATGTAGCTAATAATGTTTTAATAATTTTTGATTTCAGAAATTTTCCTTCAAAAAGTAAACCCCTTTCATCACTGCTGAACGTTTAGGAGAGGCAGTTGGTTGCCTATGACTACGAATCTACAGGTATTGAAGTTTTTCTTGCAAATATCTTTTTATAGATGATCATTACGGTACATGTCGTTAATTTCCCCTTTAACCCTCATTTACCCCTACCCTCATTTACCTCTTACCCTCATCTACCCCTTCCGTTATCTACTTCTAACCCTCATTTTTCCCAAACACTTATTTATCCCCACCCTCATTCATCTCCCACCGTCATTTACCTTCAACTCATTTCCCTATTTATCCCCAGCTCTAAATAAATAGAGGGTGAGAGTTTATTGTTTCGCTATATTCCCCACCATCAGTAAATTAAAAATCACCGGGTGGTCGATCTCTTGATGAATTCATAACAAACTACACATGCAAATTAGGCTATCTTTGTTGATACAAACAAACAATTTATTTTTACAAATATAAAAGTCAAAATAGTTACTTGCTTTGTGTCAGAACTTCAAACAAAATTATTCATCATATGTTTATGCTTTTATTCAAACTTTCTTCCGAATATGAACTGAAATTTATCTAGCCATGGCATCTTGTTAGCCCCACTTGTTTAGTTGAAAAATAAAGTAAACCTCTATTCGAGTGCTAAATCTTCATCTTAAAACTTCATCCGTATACCATCAACTTTATCCATATAATCCTAACCAAACCATGTATAAAATGAAGACATACCATTTTATTTGTTGACATCTCTCTTTACAACATGAGCTTCTCCAGATTTCGTCTTTAACGACAGTGCTCTCTTTTTGACATTGTTCATAAGTTACAACTGCCGAACTGTTTATTGTTGCCATTCTTGGCCCAATGAAGGCTGGGTTGGACAAAGTGCATTTGTCATGATAATGACGAGTCGTTTGCTCGGGAACACGGTAAGATACTGACGGTGTACGTTGAGAAGACATAATCTTTTACTCAAAAATACACACAAATATTCTTATGTGAATTTTGTTGGCCATTTTAATATCAATATATCATGTTACCTCGACAGTAAATTTGTCGAAATACTCAACATTACAAGCAAACTCGTTTCTAGGAGACATCTAGCATCATATCCGAAAACTGAAACTCATTAAAAAATAATTGTCAGAATTCTGCATGTCTTAAAAAAATCAGAGACGAAATTTGTACTTCTGTATAAATGATACGAGGAAAAAAGAATTATGTAAATTTTATATAATTAGAAATATTTTATTCGAAAGATTTAGAAACACTGAAACAGGAAGACAATGAAGATAGAAAACGAAACAAAATATACTTTTTTTCAAATCCTAAATATCTATTACAGCATTTTTACATTACTTACGCCACAGCTTTGAAATTTCTGGAGAGTTGATCTTACTCAGCAAAAATGATTTGTGGTAAAAAATCGGTAATTACCACAAAAATATCATAATCAATCGCACAAAAAGATCTGGTCAACTAAGTCAAAAGATGCATGTGATAGTTATTGGAGGTGAGAAATATTTTTGAAAATATTTAATGAAACGTACCATACAAGTCCTGCTCGATTTTCCTGCTCTGACGCTTTGGAGATTTGGGTTTTCCCCTGACAAAATAGGTATTTGAAAGTTTTGATTGGTTTGACTACCGTTCAAGGTCAATCCCTGATGAGTCATAAAAGTGAAGGCATCGTCTAATTATAATTTTCTACAGTCTGTGCCGCGGTATATAACCGCACGTAACTCACAAGTTCCCTTTGCTTTAAGGGCTGTGTTTCACATTGAAAGATACATTTCTCTGTGCTACAAGCGTAAGCCTTTGGGAATTTTTGTAGAGGTGATTGATTAATGAGTGTAAATTTATATTTGCAGAGTATAAAATTGCAGACATTTTAACAGAAACCTTTTGATATCATCTTAACAGTGTAAAGTATGTCGATTGTTAAAGATTTAAACGTAGATGATTTGAAGCGTGTGATAACTATGCAACATCGTGAACTTATGGTTAAGAATGAACGTTTGAAAGGTGTACAAGATTTGACTCGCATTTGCAGTGAATTGGAAGAACGCGCTCACTGGCAAACAAAAGCAGAGAACTTGGAGACGGGTCTCAGCAAGGCAGAGGCAAGGATTGCGTATTTGCAAAAAAAACTAGGCATTGGACCACAATCGGCGTTTAAAATCGATGTCGTAAACCCTGGCATATCGAAGAAGGATTTCAACAGAATTACTCAGGAGAATATGAAATTAAGGGAAGCACTGGATCACATTGTCGCCACAGGTCTGGGTGGCGATAAAATTGCTTTAGTAAGTTAGTTATGTCTTCAAATACTGACTATTGATTTGGAATTTTAAAAAATTGCTTTAATCTAGCTATAGTTCGCTTATTTCTAAGTATGCTGTGAATGTTCCAGAGAATACATCGTATGATACCGAGAAATTTAACTATAAAGAACAGCTTTCCTTGGTTGAAAATATCGTTAAAATTTAAAATATTCTGTTGGGATTCCCCGTTCCCATGATGCATTTTGTTACTTTCACTATCAAAGATTCAGAGGTTATTTCCCTTTTTTTTCCTGTCTTACCGGTTCCAATATTGTACATTTCCTCATTAGGGTGTATTCTTGTTATAACAATAATTCCTGTAGGTCAGCATATTATCAAGCATTGTTCTATTGTTGTTAAGGAAATGCAACCAACTCCTTAGCTTTTTCGCACCATTACAAGGAGGGGGAGGGGGACACAACTTTTCTGCCCACGTCTTGTTACACTGCACACTCTTGAGTTTAGAAAATCTCGTTCCTTATGCAGCAATATTAAACCTTGGAAATATGCAATATATGATTGGATAAGAATGCTAATTGAGAGCTGTACATATGTTTATTCACCCCTAACCCCAATTAGCATTTTAGCTTTGCCCCTGTACATGGTCGAAAAAATGGGCACCTATGGCACCTTGAAAGGGCTTACAATGCATTTGTAAGGTCTATGTTAAGAATAAATATTTTATGGTTAAGACTTACTACAGCAATCATGGAGCACCAAAATGTTTGCAAGGTTGGTCATTGTTGCAGCATTTGGTTTATATGGTTAACTAGATTTTAGTTTGTATCTTCATTCGTGCTAACAGAAAAACAAAGAATTATATGAAATGGTGATTCGACTTCAAGACGTAATAAGTCAGCTGAATTACCAAATCAATGAATTACAGTCAATACTGAATGGCAAGGACAATGAACTAATGATAAAAGTTAATGATCTCCTAACGGAAAAGATTCGAATAGAAAGGTCAATGAATGCCAAGCAATATTTTGCCGAAAAACTATTAAAAGATAATGAACGTCTCAAAGGTTTAGGTAAGAAAATTGCCTCGCGCGAACTTGATGATGATGATGATGTTATTGATGGGAAAGAAGATGTTAGGAATGTGACTCATGAAGAAGAAAAAAGGGTGAGTTATGTCTTTGCTTTTTACCAATTTCATTTTGATTGTGGACTTTGCAAGTAAAAAAATGTGTCCATTTTCCGTTTTTTCAACATCATAAACTTCATGTACAACGCAGTATGTGGACTACATGCACGTATCTTTTAAAACACCACTTAAACTTCATGTGCAACGCAGTATGTGGACTACATGCACGTATCTTTTAAAACACCACTTAAACTTCATGTACAGGCAGTGTATGGACTACATGCGTATCTTTAAAACTACCACTTAAACTTCATGTACAGCGCAGTGTGGACTACATGCACATATCTTTTAAACACCATGACTTCATAGAACGCAGTATGTAGACTACATGCACGTATCTTTTAAAACACCAAACTTCATGTTCAAAACCAGTATGTGGACTACATGCACGTATCTTTTAAAACACCATACTTCGTGTGCAAGCGTATGTGGACTACATGCACGTATCTTTTAAACACCACTTAAACTTCATGTACAACGCAGTATGTGGACTACATGCACGTATCTTTTAAAACCACTTAAACTTCATGTACAACGCAGTATGTGGACTACATGTACGTATCTTTTAAACACCACTTAAACTTCATGTACAATGCAGTATGTGCACTACATGCACGTATCTTTTAAAACACCACTTAAACTTCATGTACAATGCTGTATGTGGACTACATGTACGTATCTTTTAAACACCACTTAAACTTCATGTACAATGCAGTATGTGCACTACATGCACGTATCTTTTAAACACCACTTAAACTTCATGTACAACGCAGTATGTGGACTACATGTACGTATCTTTTAAACACCACTTACACTTCATGTACAACGCAGTATGTGGACTACATGCACGTATCTTTTAAACACCACTTAAACTTCATGTACAATGCAGTATGTGGACTACATGCACGTATCTTTTAAACAACACTTAAACTTCATGTACAATGCAGTATGTGGACTACATGCACGTATCTTTTTGAACACCATATCTTTGTTTTGCTTCTGTTTTTTTCTTCAACATGAAATTAGTTACCATTTCATGTTCATCACCATACCCTTGGTTCTGAGAAATCACCATGCCCTTGGTTCTGAGAAATAACCATGCCCTTGGTTCTGAGAAATAACCATGCCCTTGGTTCGGAGAAATAACCATACCCTTGGTTCTGAGAAATAACCATGATCTTGGTTCTGAGAAATAACGATGCCCTTGGTTCTGAGAAATAACCATGCCCTTGTTTCGGAGAAATAACCATGCCTTTGGTTCTGAGAAATAACCATGCCCTTGGTTCTGAGAAATAACCATGCCCTTGGTTCTGAAAATTCACCATACCTTTGGTTCTAAGAAACCACTATACCATTGGTTCTTAAAATTCACCATATCCTTTGTTCTAAGAAAGCACCATACCTTTTGGTTCTAAGAAACCACTATACCATTGGTTCTGAAAATTCACCATATCTTTTGTTCTAAGAAAGCACCGTACCTTTTGGTTCTTAGAAATCACCGTACCCTTTTGGTTGTGGAAAATGTTTTAATTTATGGTGTTAAAAAAAACGGAACCGAACAAATGTTTGAATAGCGGCAAAATACAAATTCATCGTTGGTATTTTGAAAAAATGTTAATTGTGTTTTGATGGCATTCTATTCATGTCTTTATTAAATTATCGCATAGGTAGGTTGACGAAGATGTTCTCAATGCAAGAGTGGAAAAAATGACAAGAGAAATTCGCGAAAAAGATGAGCTCATTCGAAGTCGTGACCATAAAATTGTGGAAATTGAAACGAAATTACAAGATTCGTTAAAAAAGAGTGAAGCATCTTGAAGAAAGAATTGAAAAAACAAATGAAAGAAAGGAGAAAAGTGAAGAAGAACTGAATAATGTATCTAAGCGATGTGTGATTTACAGAAAAATGCACTGGTTTCTTTAATCAAGTCGTCAGCAAATTCTAAACAGCAAGAATCAGAGGAAGAGATATCATCATTAAAACGAAAGATCGAAAGTCAGCGTGTTCAAGAGCAGGATAATGAAGCAATGTTGATCATGATGCGAGATTCAGTAAGCTAATATTTATTTATGTGTAAACAAGTAAAAACAAACTGTTTTGTTTATATCGACTTGTAAAAAATTGTTTTCTTACATGAACAGGACTAATAACATGCCGTTATTCCACCTTTTAAAGGTTAAGAACCACGAGCATGATTCCGTCGTGAAAACGAGGAAAAATACAATTGAGGAAAAAGAATGAGACGCTGCAGAAAGAGAATGAAATTTTGAAGAGAGAAATCAATCTCATATGACACTGCTCGTCGCTTTGAAAGAGAAGTAAGAAATAAGAATTTGTCATGCCTTTCGAACTTAATTATTGCTGAAAATTTTAAGTGATGTGTTAAGAGAACATTTATGGCCAAATCATAAGATGCTTAAAAGGGACAAAAAATCCGTATATACATACACACACAAATAAATAAATTTTCCCGTACTCCTTGCTGCATTAACTAACATTTGCAATATTAGTACTATTTTTGCTTTATATAAGAATTTGTTTAAAGCTCTAAATTGTTATTTCATTTCAGACCGAAAAAGTGAACAGCCTTTTGCAAGAAGAACGCATGAGACCTAAGGTGATTTTAACAATTTGAGCCAACAATTTAAAAATGTCAATTGACATTTTGGAATCTAAAAATAAGCATATGAAATAAATCAATTTTGAAATTTTTATTTCTTTACTTCAGCCTACAGCTAGCTTCCCAACTGCCTTCGGATTACCGTTAGGAGCTGGGATGAATTCATTTCAGGTAAGCATGATTTCACTTTATTTATGCAAGGCATGTGAAGTTTTCTTTTGTTTCAAACACAACCATCATATGCATTGTTGCTCGATGTAATGCTGCTTCCTTCAACATGCAACGTTATTTCTTATACTTAGAACCTCACATCTCCAGGGATCGTTGTTGCAGATAGCGCTAGAAATGAATCTAACAACTTACGACATGTTGGCAATTCGCCGACAGCAGATTCTTCTTCGACACTTATTGAATGTCCTTATTGTTCTCCACATTATCCATATCATCTTATTGAAAGTCACGTACAAGATTGTATGGAAGATTCATTATATTCAAACGATTAACCCCGGCTTATCTTAAAACATGTGTACACGTATTGGCAACTATATTGGTTACAGAATGGTTACAGAAGCTGGTCTTATAGTGGGAATGTGTATATTGGGGAGTTTAAATGTGGTGAAATTTGTGGTATTGGTGTTATGACCTATGGTAATGGTGAAAAATATGAAGGTGGATGGAAAGATGACAAAAGACATGGTATAATATCGCTCAAATATTATATTATATTATATTATATTATATTATATTATATTATATTTACCTCAATATCATTGCTTCATTTTTTGCTGCCTAGGAGAAGGTGAGCTTTTTGAAGCAAATGGAGATATTTACAAAGGATCAATTTATCAACATAAGAAACATGGTAAAGACCATCAAATTTACAGGTTAACAATTCATGTTTTACTTTATAAACTATCAAATTTATAATTATTGGAAATAGCAACCTGTCATAGCAACATGCATGTTTACTGCTGCAATTCCTGCAAACCTTCTTATGTCTACAGACACATAAAAATACTCCTGGGTTCAAATCATTTACTTTATATCTTAGCAATGGTGATAGTAAAGTATGAAGGAATGTGGATTTCTGGAAGCCCTGCTGGCAAATATATTGTATGCAATAAATGTATGCAATTTTGTAATGAACATTGAGAAAAAATAGTAAATTTTCTACATCTTCTATATACTAATGAAAATTTAGATGAAGGTCGACTTCTTCAAGTTACTGCTGGAGTGAAAATATCAAATAAACGATCAGAAGGAAAGTTTAGTGATGAAGAGATTATCACCACTCCATTGTATGTTTTGCTTGTTTGTCTTTTTATTTTCATACTTGTTTCCAGGTCTCCACTCTTCTAGAACACTTTTATTATACTTAGTGATTTTAAAGCAGAGTCTTATTCACTGACAGAAATGTTGCCAGATAGTGAATCTTTTGTTAATGGCAAGATAGAAGAAGTAACCCTCACCATGGAAACCGAAGACAAAAATGTAGAAATTGTACAAAGATTTTGCTATTACAGTTGATAAATTTTCTCTTTTATAATATCTTAGTATACCAATTTACAATAGATTGACATTAGGAGATACATCTAAGAATAATTCCAGTCCTTCAGCATCAGCTGTAAGTCATTTAACCCAAGAAAGTGTGCTACAACACTCCTCACTTGCAGATTATGGTGTTTCACCAGAAGGTATGTATAAGGACATGCTACATTTGTCTTTGTTTTGACTTTGACAAATTCATGTACATTGTAGGTATATCCAGTACATCACATGGCTATATATTTCCAAGTGTCAATACACTACGTACAATTAACGGTCGCGCAACGTTTACAAATCTTTTTCTACCTCCTATTAATCCAAGTTATTCTTCAATTACTGAAGACAACCCAGACGGTCATGCAAGTCAACCTCAAAAGTATGTTAAATTGTAAGTACTTGTTCTCATATTCATTGAGGTATCATAATGTTGTTATTAACTAACAGATGGAAACGAGTCATTAAGAAAGGAAGTGCCCAGAATAGTACAACAGATGTGTCAGATTATAAAGAAGGGAAGCGTAGAAAAGGGAAGAAAGACGAAAAACTTAATGATGATAAATGGAAATACTGTAAACCTGGTAATTCTAACAATTTTCAAGTTTGAGATTGACGTTCTTTCTTGTATATTTATATTCTGTTTCCTGTTTATTGATGCAGGTGATTACGTTATTATCATTCAAGAAATTACTAATCCTCCATTTTTTGGCACAACTCTACAACCAGCTTAGTGTCACGTAAAAGTTACTTCAAAGCAGAAGAGAGCAAAAAGCAAAATGGACAAAAAATAAATATTTTTTATTCGTGTGCATTATATTTTGAGGACGTTAAAAAAAATGTATATATTTTACAATGTGCAGTTTAGCTGCTTTAAATGTTTGCGATTTAATTGTTTTGATATGAGCTTTATGAAAAGCATTCGCCGATTCCAAGTGTGGCCAATTTTCCAATTTTACTCGCGCAATCATACCTTGCAATAATTTTTTCATCCATCTTGGGAATTGTTGCCCTAGTTCGTACGCAGTTCGTTTTTGTGTTCTCTTGTCTTCACTGAAAATCGTTTTGTTTTGACAAGAGGACATTTCCTCTTCTTCGAAATCATCGAAAACACTTCCAGGATCACTTGGGGTTATTTTATTGATCTTAAATATTGAAAGATATTTCTTTTTTGGATTGAGAACGAGGACCGTGCCTGGGGTGATTTTACCAAAAGTTTGAACATTCATTACTTCATTGCACCATGCTATATAGCGAGGAATTGATAACCATCCCATTTTAAAAATGCTTTCACTAAAATCAAACGCAATATATAATTATAATTGCTTGTGTACACATTGTTTACAGGATCAAAAAATCTTACCGACGAAAAGGCTGAATGATATTCGCAAAAGTTTTCGCAATTGGTGAGTAAAAAGCCGACTAGGTGTCCTGAGCGACATTGTTGAATAACTTGATTCTGTGTGACAGAGTTCAACTCAATTAACCCCAAAACTTCTTCAGTCTTTAGCGAGTCTTTTTTCTTATCTTCTTTTTCGCTGTTAGAAAGGATATCGTCAAATGCGTTATAAATGTCGGTAGAAATGAATAATGATAAGAGCTCACGAAAGAAATGGAAAGATGACGCTGATGAAAATAACCATAAGAGCGGTCATCACTAAAGAAATCTTAGGTAAATGACTAGACCTGTGATAAAAATAAAGATATTATAAAAATAACGAAATTAAACTTTGACAAAGAAAAGAGAACAATTGATGATAGGCTACCAATTAATATAATGAATTAACATACTTTTGAGGTTGACTTGCATGACCGTCTGGGAAAATATATGACCGTCTGGGTTATTTTTTAATGAGAAAACACTTATGAAACTCAAGAAAGATTTGACAAAAACACAAAAATCGCTTGGGGAAAGCGAAAGATTTCGGGCTCAAACTGAGGAGAATTTTCAAAAATTAAGAAAAATATTGAATTGTGATGCTATGACAAATTCAGATGTTGTATTAAACATACAAGAAATGTACGTCACACAAGATGAAGTTGCAAAAAATGCTGATGATGTAAATGAAATTATTTTATTTTTTAAAGTGTTCGTTCATTAGTGTGACAAAACACATTTTTTTGCTTTAAATAGCTAAGTAGAGCATTGAATATGGAGAAAAATTTACGGAAGAACTTGGAAGATTCAAAATCTGATCTTTTGAATCGTGTAACAGAAATGGAGAAAATTGTAGAAAGAGAAAATCATGGAATGAAAATGTTGTCTGGTGATTGTATGAAATTAAAAAGAGAGTTGCTCGAGACAAGTTCAAGATATGATAAAGAGTATCAAACAAGAATAAAGTTGGAGACTTATGTAGATAAATTGAGGAATGATACAGGTTATATAATAGAAATTTCTGTAATACATAAACTTTCCTTTTTGTTATGGAAATAAGATATTGCTTCTTTGCTCAGAGGATATGGAATCCAAACTTTTGGCTATTTCAAATGACAAACAGGTACACTCTTTGCTTAGAATATTTTGTCTTGAACTATTTAGTCTTACGGAGTTTAAATATTTGATTTCAGACGTTACAGTTGACCTTGATGATGTTGAAACATGAGAACAAAGAGTTAAAACAGAAAGAGGAGTTCACACAACAATCAAACAACACACTTAAGGTATAGCATCATTTCATTTATTTTCCTCGTTATTTCCATTGCATAATAAATGAAATCCACTTATAATAAATTTGAATTGATCATGTCATCATTTTTTCATAATTAATAGGATGCCAACCTTGAATTAGAGAAACGATTTAAAGAAATGATAGAGACTCAAAGGAAGTTGGAAGATGATAATAAGATCTTGGTACCCAAGCATTGTGATTATGTTGAACAACAAGAGAAAGCATTTGCTGCCAAACTGCAGGAACAAGATAAAATACTGGATGAGGCAAAAGAAAGCACTTTACAGGAATTAAGAAAAGAGAAACAAGAATTACTTGAGAAAGAAAAAGAAATGTAAAAATGAGTATAGTTTCGTAAAATAAATATTGTTTTATTTTAATCATATTTTAATGAAAAACAAATTATACACAGTGTCATTCTACAAAAAGATCGAGATACAAAACAAGTTTTACTGGATGAAAAGGTTAGTTTATTGCTATGTTTTATTTTATTTAATGACACGTTTTTCAATGATGATTTTTTCAATAATGTTTTAAAGGATAAAAAATTGTCCAACATCAAAGAAGTGTTGGAGAAGTTAACAAATGATTGTGAAAATATGATTGAAGAAAATGATAAAGTTTTAATGGAAGTAAGTTTGACATATCATCTACAATAACAATATTTAACTCTTTGACTTTATTTCATTTCATGTGGTTTCTTTTTAGATCAAACGTGACTTGGATAAATTTGAATCCTTAAAATTCTGTTGAGAATGAATCCTTAAATCATCAAAACAAAAAACTATCTGATCAATGTGAGATATTGAAAGTTCGTGCGTGCAAGCAATAACAGCGATGGCTGCTAATTCAAATATTTCATAAGAAAATGAGAAATTTTTTTGACAGATAACAAAGTACACAAAGCAGGTGTTGATCAAAGGAGCTGTAGTTATGGAACCGAACCTGTTTGTTAAAATCATACCTTTAGCTTGGGAACTTTAACTCTTTAGCTTGGGAACTTCGTGGGAACTTCTGAGTCCTCTTGAAGAACTTGTATCCACTGCAGGTAAATAATGCATATGTATATGATAACCTTTCTTGGCGCACGATAACTTTCTTAGCTATATTTAAACCTGTATTGCGGTATATGCACAACTCCGGAGGGTACTAAGTTGAAAAATTGCAAAATTTCATCTTTCCTAAGATGTCAAGAACTATTTAGTGAAAACCATACTCAATTATTGTACTTAAATTTTTGTCGTCTTTATTCGTGCACTGTCGTCAAGCCAAAAAATGTGACGTTTCCTTGTGCATTGTTCATTTCTACACATGAAAACTGACTGTACAGAATCCATTTCTGTACAGTCAGTTGGATTAGGATATGAAAGGACAAATCTTAGGGCCAATACTTAGAAATGATAATCCACAACTATTGCTGCATGCTTTTACTTCAATAATTCAATATTGCTCTTTTTAAATTAATCAAATGACAAAGATAGAAAGACGACGAAGATTCTATGGTCCTATTGCAAATCATAATAATCATTAAAGTGACTGAGGACAATACTTCTCGCTAACCACGAGAAGACTTTCCTATACCATTATGTGTTAGATATCATAATTTTCAACATCAACACGGATGCAGAACATTTGACTTGAAAAAAGCTGCACACTGAAAGTAAGGAAGAACTTGTGCATTAGTTTTCATGCCTTTATTTTGATTTTGTAAATAATCATATTGTTTGCTTTGACAGACAATAACTGTTTTCAAAGACTTTTAAATTCACGAACTCTCAGAATTTGATTTCCTCAGTCCTCACCATTTGCCACCTTTAACGCACGAAGTGGCACATGTGAAGCTACTTATCAGGGCCGCGCAGCAGGTGTAGCTAGGATGCTTATGCCCCTCCCCTCCCCGCCTTTTTTGCTGCGCAAATGTTGAAATACAGTTTTCACTTAAAAAATAAAAGATGTTTACTGTGTTTGCCCAGGCTTATGCAAACCGAGGAGACCTTTGAGAGGAGATCTTTGAGAGGAGACCTTTGAGGGAACTTGAGAGCAGATCAGTGCAAGCCCGAGACCGAAGGTCGAGTGTTGTTCATGCTCGAGAGTCCTCACAAACGTCTCCGAGTTTTGAATAAGTCAGTGCAAACACGAAAAACATCTTTTATTTTTTTTATAAAATAACAATAATGCATAAAAGACAGACATTTTAATTTTTCCTCTAAAATGTATTCATGATCGATTTGCAAATTCTCTTTGACTGATTGTTTTGATCGATTTGATTGGTTGAGCTCAGATGTGTTTTGCCAACATAGCTCTAGACCAATTCAAATACAATTTCAAATTTTTTATGCTGTCTCTTCGGAGAAAATCTGATGAGAAGGTCGGGTAATTGTTTTATCACAACAGGAATGAATTATGTAAATAACAATTCTGCTTTAGCCAATTAAATTCATTGTACCACGTGATGTAAGCCGTCCATGCCTTCCCTACATTCTCTTCATAAGCCTCCTCTAAAAAATTATCAGCCTCGAAGAAGGAAGAAAGAAATTCACATTGATTTTTCGTCAAAATTCAACAATATTATGAAAGTTTGAGTTAGCATAAGCAACAAAAACATTTCCAGTCATTCAAATGGCAACCGATCTGCATATATCAAACTCCAACGAGCCCATACATTCGCAACTTGACACTGCGACCACAGCAATGCAAGCTGTTTCAAAGTCAACTTCTTTGGTAGAGATAACTGAAACTACACACGGTAGGTCTTAAGTATTGAAGGTACAGATCACGAACTTCTATGATCTTCGAAGACTGATTCAAATCTTCCGGTTGCACCCAGTCTTCAAAACGAAAAACATATCTTATGCTTTCCCCCAGTCCTTTGTAATAAAGAGTTTTCATTAATATCATTGCCCCAGTCCTTTCTTCAAAATGAACCACTTTGTGATAGCGATGTGGCGCCAAACCCAAGCTTTTCTATAGTTGTGCGTGCGTAGAATATATTGTTTGAATGAGCCATATAAGATATTCTATAGTTCATGTTCAATTTAATGCATTGAATGTGAAGTTGACAATATGGCGCATTCATTTATGGCCAAAAAGCACTGTGTATTTTGTACTTGCCACGCTCCCATCTGATTATTGCAAAATGCAATATTTACGAAAATATCGATACATTTTCCCTGTTAGAAAATTTTTACTTCTTTAGTGATATTTGCGTTTACATCAACAAATATTTTACATGTGCCATCGCAAAGGCTTGATTGAAACTTTACATTGACAGGATGATGAGTGATCAAATATTTTAAGGTGATATTTTTGGTTTTGGGTTTTGTTAGTAAATGGAACACAAGAAACAGGCAATGATGAAGAGGTTGCAACTGCATCTACTAGTGATATACAGACAGCTGAACATATGCAAGGACAACAATAAGCTTACTTAGAACCAATTCTTGTTGCCATGGAACTTGGACAAGAAATTTTGGAAAGCAATGATAATAATGACGGTGATATGGTCAGTAACAGATTAATTTTATTTGTGCTATGTGTTCTAAAGAATAGATCAAAAGATTCCCCTCTAAATAACTTGAAGAAATTTTTTTTTTATATTTTACAACTTGTCTATTGGTCATTTAGCATCTTCCTGATATGAATGGGTTTTCAATGAGTCTATTGCAGCACCCTTTTGTCTAGTAAGTGCAATTGTAGACTGTGTATGTGCACTTATTAGGTTGGTGAGCATGAAAATGAAGCTACAGCTGTTGAAACTAACACATCAGAAAATACCATTCCAACAGATGGTGATGGTTCTACCCCTAGTATGGTTACTATAACACACGAGCAGTTGTCAAACCTTTTTGCCAACTCTAACTCTGGTAGTACTGCAGGTAATGTTATAGTGACCTCATTACCTGATGGTAATTGCCCGCAAGGCAGTTTATCAATAGCTACCATCTTACAAGATGTTGCCTCTGGTATTCAATCAGCATCAACTGGAGTAGGCTCTACGACTATACAAGCTGATAATAATGGTGGTTCCTACTATCTGGTCACCCAAGGGGGTACTATACCAATAGTCATGCAATCAGGCAGTGCAGTAGTCAATAACCTGAACTTGGTCAATACAGCTTCAGGTGATACATTTGTTCTTAATCAGGATTCTTTACCAGAGGGAGTATTTTCAACCTCTGTGCAATCAGACTCTGTAGGTAAGTCAAATTTATGGGTATTCACTACCTTTGCTTGATCACAATTGAAATTTGTGATAAATTACCAACTGTGTGTTTAAAAGTATATTGTTATTACTTATTAGGATAAAAACTATTTTTATCATTTCTTAATAAACATAATTTTTAGCATTGTATTCAGTATTCTTTAACAAAAATTTTTAGAATTAAATTCTGTTTGCTTCTGGTAGCTGGTCAACCATTGTTGTATATGATCTATTTTCTTAGATAATTCAGAGAAAGTTGTAAATACCACTGGACAAGATCTAAATGAAGCAAATGATGAATTAACCACTGCAGCTGCTGCTGTTGAAGGGCATAAAGAAGAGTTGCAAGAAGCCATAACCACTGCGCCAAGTGAGAGATTAATTAAAATAATTTTATTGTGTATAGTATAATATATCCCCAAAACATTTTAGCTTTGATACATGCTGCTGCTTATTCACATTTTTCTTTGTATTCAAGTTCCAGTGGTAAATCAATCATCTGGAAAACGTCGTCTCAGTAATGGTCCTCGTGTTTGTAATCAATGTAATAAAGCATTTAAATATCCATCAGACTTAAAGAAACATCTGCAGATACATACTGGTAAAATATATGTTTGTGGTGAAGTGACGTCATTTTCTATTTGCTCATTTCTTTGTATTCAATATCCAGACGTGAAAAGTTCAAATGTGAAGAGTGCAATCGATTTTTTCGTCGTTATCACCAGCTTGTTGTTCATCAGCGTATTCACACAGGAGAAAAACCTTATGTTTGTAAACAGTAAGTAATTCTGGCATGCCTTTCTTTTGTAAAATCTTTTTGGGTTTGCAAGCTTTGAATTTTTCATAAGAAGTATTACGTTCCATTTATTTCGACAATCCTTATCCAGTCCTCAAAATACAATTCTTATCCTGAAGATAATATTCAATTTTTTCAAAGTTATCCAATTCCTACGAAAACAACCATTTCAAATACATATCACTCTTCCAGTCAGTAACAATGAACGCGTGATTTCACTTGTTTTGAAAAACTTGTATGTGTTAAAAATCGTTAAAGAGTCTTATTTTATTTCTTTTCACAGTTGTGGCACGGCGTTCCGTCATGATTCAACTCTAACCATGCACATTCGAACAAGGCACGAGCACAAACGACCGTTTCGATGCGAATTTTGCGATCACACTTTTGGTCGACTTTCACATTTACGTAAACACGTGAAGAAAGTGTGCGGTCCTAACAAAAACCAAAAGCAGGCCAATACCATTACTCAATGCAAGTATTGCGAAGAGATCTTTCCAAATAAGATTGATCTTCGAAAACATACGGCTACCTGTGAAAAAAAAGAATCCAAACCAAAGGATCCCAGTCAAGTCACCTTACATGTCTGCAATATATGCAACAAAGATTTTGCTAGTCCTTATAACGTCCGACGACATCAGATAACGCATAGTGACGAAAGGCCTTACATTTGTGAATTCTGCAGAAAATGTTTCAAAGAAAAATCTTCGTTGACTAAACACATGAAACGTGTTCACAAGTGTAAAACAGATGATTCTACCCTTGTGAATTGATGGTGAGCATTACTAGTGATGATCAGCAGTTTGAAGTCGTGTCTGTGCCAGCAAATGATGAAAACATCTTAGCCAGTGCTAATGCTGTAGACACCAGTAATGAAAACGTCAATAGAGAAAGCACAGTTGATCATTCGGCACTAGTTCATGTTGCCACAAGTGTAATGGTTGAAGAACTGTTGCATAGTGACCAAAACATGGCAAGTGATCCTACAGCAACCTCCCAGACATCTTCACAAACTCCTGTGTACATGGCTGAGACATGTAAGGAGGATGCCCATCAACTTGTGGCCGAAGATAATGTTGCGTGTCTAACCGATTCTGACATTAATCCTGGTGATGGTTTATTACAAGACTCAACAAATGATTCAACCGAGGAGACTGCCATGGCTGTAGACGATAATCATACCACTGGATATAATGAACATCACCAACTTTCAAAGTTAGATTCCACTTCTGTTCATTTACAGCCCATTGAGTTAAACAACGATGATGACAATTCTTGCGTTATTCCATCTGTTGTTGCTTGTGATGAGCAGCGTAAAGATTAAATATCTTTAACTGAACTAAACTTCATACTACTTTCAACCATGTCGGCAACTGGTTTTTCTCGTGTTTTTCTATGAGATGTATAATTAAGCATTTGTCCTGTGAACTAATGTTAAATGTAGCTAGTATCAAAAAGTTGACTATCACAGCTTTTTTAAGACTTCTAAATGTCAAAGACACGACAAGATATTCGGGTTTAATGAACGAGTGTGGCACACGTTGGTTTGTTTAGTTTAAAGCTATTTTCTGTTGTGAAAAAAAGAACCACTTTAGCTTGGTAAAACGTATTTTGGTCAAATTATATCAATTGTATGATTTTTGTTGAGCAAATTTGAAAATGTCTTCATTCCGCTATCGGAATGAACGTGATGTTATTGTGTACAAAATATTGAAAGGAGAATAGCGGTTACTGCCCTGATATTGTGTATGAAATACTAAATACATGATTCTTTCAAAGAAAATTTGAAGTTATTAAGACATTGCTACTGAAACTTTCCTTTCTTTTCCATGTTTAGTGACAGTGCTCGTTGACTACTCAAATTCAAACAGATTGCTCCAGACGGTTGTTGTTATTCGCTATTTCAAATGTTAAACATTTTTGAATTCACCGATTTTTCTACTTTCCTCGAGCAGAAAAGCTCGTTATCGACAAGCATACGAATGCACCTTAACTAACTTACTATTGTTTGTTGATGTTATAACTAAGAGATGAGTTTTATTTGACGTATGCACGTATTTACTTATAAATATGCCTAATTTAAAAAATAAAAAAACGTCTTCCTGTAGCTATCTTGGCTTGACTTAAGAAAAACGAAATATAATGCGTAAGCATAACTATGTGTCACATGGTCTATAATGGCCTTATCATTGTGTTTACTGTCATTTGATTGGCTCATGAGCAGATGTGCTGTCTTTGTGTCACCTCCAAGGCACAAGAGACAATTTGCTATTAATGGTGGACGGCATCGTTTTTAAATATCTGTATATTTGACCGCTGAAAATATGTTTTATGTTGCGGAATATCTGTTTCAGTTTTACTTGTCATTTTATCTTGACTAGTTGCTAGTTACACCGAAGGGTTTAGCACATCGCAGCCTGAACGGAAACTGAAACTGAGCGAGCTTTGAAGAAATACATAAACAATTTTTTTTGCGTACACTTAATACATATTTCGACCTCCTGAAGAAAATGCCTGTCCGCTCTGTTCACGTTGAATCTGCCGATGAGAAAGATATTGTTGAACAGGTTTGTGTTGTTTTTTAATGTCGTTCCGAAAAGTGAAAACGTCAAATTTCACACGGAATTCATATATGTCATTGAAACAAGGCAAAGTAGCGATACCATATACAAATTTAAAGAATATTTTTAAACACTAGTTCTCCAAATTTACCGTTATTATTCATATCTTCTTAATCGTTGTGCTATAGCCTTGAACGATTTACAATAGATTTTTAAATTCTACCTCTGGCCCTCGTCGTATTTTATTCTATCACGCATTTTCTCCTTTATTGACATGTTTTAGAAAAGACCTATGGTAAAGATATAAGGAAAATGTCAACCGGATAATTTATTGTTTTCCCGTAAAGCATCGTTTTAAACTATAATTTTCAAGTTGATAAAACGGAAGTACGTTGATTGTTCGCCATTTTAATGTTTTCATATATAAGCGTGCAATTTTTTAAAACTTTTGTCTTCAATGATTTTTTGCTGTAAATATGCTCTTTTAAAAGTTAATAGTAACGAAAGGCTTCAATTTTATGTTGAAATCGTTTTGTAAAAGTTTATGAGTAACTACACTCATATTTCAGTTCAACAATAGTATCGACGGGCGGCCATTGAAAACCTCCCCTATATATGGACAATATATATATATATATATGTTGGTGTCAAAGGTACCCATATTTTGCTATCGCCCCCAAACCGCTTTAAGCCCTCTTCCGTCCGTTTAGGAACGTTTAACACATTTTGTAGATCATCTGTTTTATGAACTGTTTTCTTACGTAAATATTCAAAATATTCTTGTTTTTTTTTGTCACTTATGCCATTTGATAAAATCCAGCTTTTAAAACACTTCTTGTGGCGGGACATATGGAACAGACGATTTGATCACCAAAATACTCAATGTCTAAACAAAGTTTATAATGTGGACTATTAGAATTGAGAATGATGTTACATTTATTGTATAATGTATGGTTGACAGTCCATCATCTAAACTACCAAAAAAAAACAATTTTCATCAAATTTTCCTTTCCAACAAAAACTAGAGTCAATTGTACTGCTTTAATATGTCGCTCCCTTATCATCTTCATATATAAAGGAAAAAGAGTTGTTGGGAAATGAAATGGTTTACTCCTGGGGTTTTTTGTGATTCCCAGCACATGCACCTGTTAAATTATTAACAAACTAGAAGTCGCCATTTTTTGTAATTGTTTATGATGCAGTTTTAATAATTCATAAATCTGTTGGTGAATGAAGGCCTTGGATTATATTTCGTTGAACAAAAACAGTGAAAAGTGAAATTCCTGTCCCCCAATGAGAATCTTAAAATTTTAGCAATGGATGATACAGTTAACAAAGAGTATTTTAACAAATTTCTTGTTAAAATTAAAAATAAGTTTTCTACATCTTTCAAGTATTTTTTTGTGATGAAAAACATGTATAACATTTACCCAAACATAATCTGAGGAAAATAGGAAATACAACATGAGAAAATCATTCATGTATATTCATCACAGACATTCTTAGTAAAATATGTGAAAAATGTGAGAATGTGTGAAAGCATGTAAAATATGTGTGATAATAATGTTAATTGCATGCAACGTTTTTTTATGATAAGCTCTTTAAGAGTCTGTTATAGAAAATAATCTACCTGTTTTTGTTTTGTAGTCATAGGTCTATTAAACCTTGCATTGTATTCATAATTATCAAAGTATAATAAAAAGCCCACCTGGTCTCCGATTTTTTAATTAAGTCTTCAATTTATATCTTGATATTTTGTAATCCATGTTTGTACCAATATCAATATATTTTCATGGTTACACCACTGAATTTGATAGACATTATGTTTAAGATGAGCTATAATATCTTAAATATATTTTTTCATTGATAAGTATTTATTCTTTACCTTGAGAGATGACAAACTGTATCAAAGCAGATCTTGGGGCACATACTTGTGTTTCACCAATCAAACATAAATTAAATGTGAAAGAGATGTATTATTTCGTGTATTTTAAATAACTTGCTAATTAATGTTATGTCAAAGTTCACAGATTTGTACTTATGGTACTTGTTGAAATGTTGTAGAAAACGTCAATTTTTCGTGGTCACTCGCATGACAGCACATTTGCCTTTATATTTTTTTTATGAAGTTACCCTTCAGTAGCACAAAAAAACCCTGTACTTACGAATAGTAAACCCTGAGTCTACGTATAGTAACAGAATTACAGTGTAAATGTTACTTGCGTGATGGAAGAACCCCTCATTATCCAAAACATCAAAATTTTGAATGGATGATGTTAAATATATCATCTAATTTTGAATGGATGATGTTAAATATATCATCCAATTTTGAATGGATGATGCTTCATAATGTCAAAGTTTTTAATCTTATCGTTGTCATGTTTTATAAAGGCAAGTGAAGAAGAGGAGTTCTTACCTGCAAGAAACAATGACGAGAAACCACCAGAAGAATTAACTGTACCTTCAGATTCAGCTAGTACTGCCAGTGAAAGTGATAGAATGCATGTCACCAGTTTTCATGAATCAAATAGCTGTCTAACAGACATTAAGCGAAGTGTTTCTTGTATATCGAGCGTATCATCCAATGGAGCGTTTTGTAGAATTTGTCATTGTGAACGAACAGAAAGTAATGATAGTACATTGATCAGACCTTGTCTGTGTTCTGGTACACTGATGTTTGTGCACCAGAGTTGCCTCAAAAGTGGATTAAAAGTTCTGATATCAAAAAGTGTGAATTATGTCAGTATCGGTTTGTCATGGAGGCTAAAGTTAAACCATTCCGAAAGGTAAATAAAACGTCTTCAACCAAAGCTCATAAATGATTTCAAATTTTTTTAATAGACTATTTTTGACGTAGTATGACAAAAAATTTCACGTTTGACTCTGCGAAAGAGTTCGTTTAAAGATAAGCTTCCCAACTTTCCTTCATGTGGGAAAGCATACGTCCTTTCCTGTGTGACGTTTTCCAAAATTTGTTTTAACTCTTATTAAATTATCTCTTTTTTAATCAGTGGCAGTCATTGAAAATGACTCACAGCGAACGAAGAAAGATTCTTTGCTCTGTGTCATTTCATGTTATTGCTATCACGTGCGTTGTTTGGTCTCTGTGGGTTTTAATTGATCGCACTGCTCAAGAAATTCGAAAAGGACATCTTGGTTGGCCATTTTGGACTAAGTTGGTTGTAGTTGCCATAGGCTTTACTGGTGGACTTGTTTTTATGTACGTTCAATGTAAAGTTTACGTACAGTTATGGAAACGACTACGAGCTTTCAACCGTATTATACTTGTGAAGAATGTCACCGAAGAAGAAGACGTAAAGGAGTATGTATAATAACGATTGCACATAAAATCAAGAACTGCACAATGGTTGTATAACATTATCATAAATAAAATGCAAATAAAGTTAACACCAATACAGTTAACGTGATAAGTTAAGTTTAAACGTTAAGTCATAAAGTGCTTTGCTGTTTTAGTTTATATAATAACGTAGTTTTCTTGAATCGATCATTTGTTTGGCCACGAAATATAAAACATGCATGGTTACCTACATATCAAGTATAAAAACTTTGCAACTATGTTCAGTTTGGCTTTTGTGTTATGGAAAATTTATAGAAGAAAAGGTCTTTTGATAAACATTGTGGTGTCTATAACTAGCAGCTCATAATCTTAATTACTTGTTTAAAAGCAACACATAATTCTTTGGTGGATTTTTTTGCATTAAACTGTTATTATTATTTACTTTGTAAAGTTGTGATGAACCATTGAAATATATAACTTTTGAGTAAAATAAGTTCAACTAGATTTGATTTTCATCAAATTATGAGAGTTTTTTGTGTTGTACTATCCTTGTATTAAATTTCCTGCCCTCTACAATCTGTTTTTAAATTGTATAAAAGAGCATTGATAAGATTTGTAGTATTTGTTTTTTTGACCAAAGCCATGTGTTAGCTGATAACTCAGGTGGACATTTTAATAGATATATATCCTGTTTTATATTGCTTTTAGTTTCTATACATAATTGGAAAAAATACATAGAAGTTTCATTCTCCAAAGAAAGAGCTTTCCCATCTCTATAAAATGTACATGATTGACATATTCTCTGTATTATTATTATTTCGTTTCAATCATCTTACGCAATCCGCTGCTATAGCGGAGATGCAACCAAAGATCACGAAGGTAAATACTATAAGTGAAAACCAGTGGCGTAGCTATAGGGGGGAGGCAGGGGAGAAGCGCCCCCCCTGCTCAATTAGCAAAACTATTAAAACGCACACTAAAACATACTTTAAATATTGGAATTCGAGTAAATATATTTTTAGAAAATAAGGGATATCTTTATTTTTTAATTTTCCTTGTTTTAATATTTGAGTTCAAGACTAAAAGCGTGGACAAAGAACCTTGAAAAGACGACATCTACGATTAAAATGACGACTTTCATGAAGTGACAACTTTTTGAAATGACGATACAAATTATACATATGAAGGCTACTGGAGTATTTTAGGCAATAAAACACGGTCTCCGCATCAAAATAAGCGAAATAACATAAGGCCTTTACACAGCTAACGCCTCTAAACAACGGACACTTATCTTTGTCGAAAGCTGTCAGAAATCGATGAAAAGCTCCACTGTATTTAATGTTTCAGTTTTATAAATATCAATGTTTATCAACCTATTTATCGCACTTACAACAAGAATTTGCTTAACTTATTATTCATACTTCATACTTTAGTACAATACGCTCACGACAATTAAAATCTATCCTCGTTGGTGATTAGAACATGCTTAGTTCATCACTGGTATTGTAGATAACATGGTCTTTTTTAGTAGCTACTGTACTGTGTATAGGCTACTTTAAAACACTAAATGAAACAACCTAACCTACTGGCAATAGACAAGCATGGTTTCCGAATATTCTCCTTATCATAGCCACTGCAACCATGCACAAAAAACTTCATTTTTCTAATAGATCTTTTGGAAGGCGATATGGTTTCCGACTAAATAGTCGAGGAACTGTTTGCAAATCAAACAGAACAGAAAAAAAGTGCTGTGACCATAAGTGTTCGGTTATGGTCTAACGCAATTGTTCCTTATAAAATAAGCAATTAACTATGTAAGATAGTAAACATTTCGTCCAAGTCACGTGTTTTTCATGTGCATATAAAAAACCGTGTTAAGATTTATAATATGCATTATACAGTCATTATAATTCATTTTCTTAAGCATTTGAACTAAACGACAAACTTTTTTATCATAAACATGTTTCGACTTACATCAAGTCATTTTCAATATGAGAATGAAGTAAACTTTTCCGATTCAAAGGAATTCTTTTGATCGCGAAGCATAGAGACAGCTGTCCAATTTATTACGTATATAAAACATTTCCAAATCATATACAAAAACAGGCGTCGTCATTTCTTCTCTGTCACGCTTGAATTTGTTTCACTGTTGTAAATTTCATTTTTCAAGTATTTCGTCTACCTCAATTAACGAATTAGAACATCTGTCATAAATGTCAGAGCATTGTTTATGCACAAAATATGCAGATACAAAGTTATGAATAAAAAGAGAAACATCTCTAACATTGTCACAGATATTACGAGTGGCGTAACAAAGTGTTGACGACTTTAATATGCATTTGTCAAAACAAGTTTAAGAAGACAAAAAGCGTGTCAAAAATATATGATTGAAAATTTGCTTACCGCATATACAAGCATCAATTTCGGAGTTCGCTCCGTCACAAATTAATTGAGAATTAATCTGAGCATGCGTAGTCAACTCCACCAATTCTCCAAGTTCATGGTCACGGCAACGACCAATTGTATGTACTACTACCGAGTATGGAGTAATTAGCTAACTCTGTCACAAATTTTCAGATAAAGCATCTGCGCATGAGCAGTCTGTTGACTGACGTTTCGACAACCTTAGCGGTAGTCACCTTCAGAGTCCAAGTTATTTACAATGCTGAGTTTATAATAAGATACATGATACGTGTTAATTAATAAAAGTAAGAGGATAAGGTGTGCTGAAATATTAGTGATAATTACATGGCAAGTATTATATGAGTGTGATAGAGATAAGTTAGAATATTTACAATTGGAAAATGGTGTTAAAGTGTTGAAGTTGTATGTTGAGATCAGGTTTTTGTTTGCGTATGTGTAAGGCTTCTTGCTTTCTTCTAACTTATAACTACCACACTCATATTATACTTGTCATGTAAATATCACTAATATTTCATCACACCTTATCCTCTTACGTACTTTTATTAATTAACACGTATCATGTATCTTATGCAAGAATGTTATATGACTTAATGTAAGTGGAAACATGTTTATGATAAAATTTTTTGTCGTTTATTTCAAATGCTTAATCAAATCTCGTGCTTTTGAGATCATATGGAAATTCATTTTTTATTCAGAAACATTCAGTTTCTACGTGTAAACGTTATATAGGATATAAGTTTTGCTGTAGCTGGTCTTACGTATTGCTCAAAATTTTTCCGACGCTCTGAATCACTCTTTCTAAATGGAGATGAGGATTTCTCTAAAATTTTATTGTGTACTTTCTTACTGCAATCAATTGGACTTTTATCATCGTGTCTTTCCTTTTGCTCATATATGTCCATCAGTTTGTCGATATCAATTTTTAAGTAATCTTCGTCGAATTCTATTTTCTTTTTGTCACTTTTCAAAGATCATTCGATCTTATCTTGTATTTGAATTTATGTACTTTGATACACTGTTTTCTTGATAAGACACCTTTACCTTTCACTTCAGCTACACTTATCAGACCAACATATAAATTGTCTTCACTTTTTCCTTTACGATTACTATTTGTGCCTCTTTTTAATACACCTTTTTTGCAAAGCTTAGAATTATGCGGCAGGAGCGTTCCAGTGGAGAAAAAGTGTTTGGCAATATGTTTTTCACAATAATTCCATGGTTTCCATCCACATTTTGGAGCTGCCTCTAACTTTGATTGGTTATTCCTTGTTTGAAAAAAAATGAATCGATTGAGGATTGGGCAGCTGAAAACCTCAAATAGATAGAAAGGCGTTCATCTTTAACATTTCTGTGGAATTGATTTTGCTGTATCTTACAAATTGTCGTCGAACATGCCACATCTCATCTGCAACTTTCAGAGAAGAAACGCTTTTCTGAGATCTTACATTATTGATAACATTTTAAGAAAAACTAAGTACCACAGTTATTTCCTGATGTTTTTGGATTGTTTAGAAATATCAAAGACGTGTTTTTTAAAGGAGGACAAAAAAAATTTTTCACATATTCTCTTGTTTTCCTGCTTTTTCCTTTTTGATGACTTGATGAAAATCAGATTTTAATTTCAACGCATTTTTAGAAACATTAATTTGGTATTCTTGCAAACGTCCATTGGTTTCAATGCTCGATTTTCTTAAATTTTTTCTTGTATATTTAAGTAGACAGTTCAATGAACAGTTTCATTTCTATAATTCATCCCATTTGACAATTGTACGTATGAAACTTTTTTTCCCATTACTTCTTCATTTCATTTATCAAAGGTAGTAAAATTGAAAAATCTCTGTCTGTCATGAGCTTTCCAAGTATCTGCAGTTTTGAAAAATCATTTCTCATGAATTGCTAGCTCTTGCTGTAGAAAACTTTTCGAAGAACGTTTGTTTTTAGGATTTAATTGTTTCAAGGTGACAATCTTTAAATCAATGCAAGCATTTTTTTATCAATAAACATTTCTGTGCACATGATAAGGTTTGAGATAAAAACATTCATTCATCGGAAGTATGATGTCACCATGATGTAGATAATCCATACTATTCTATGTTTGAACAGCTAAAAATTCCACGAAGAAAAAAAATATTTCAAAATTTTATTCCGTAAACGATACCTTACGTAGACCTTTCAATAAGAGCTGTGTTTGCAATGTTATGTTCGTTCTTTTAGTAATATTTATTTTTGTAAAACAAACCTCTCAAAATGAGCTGAAATTTAGTTCAGCAAAATTCTTTCTACATGAACGATACTTTGTCAAAACTGTCAGCAAATAACTGTCGATGTCAGCTTTGTCAGAAATTTATCAAACTCATTTATATATAATTCTTTAAATACACAAAATTTATCCCAGATATGACGCCGACTTTGACTGTTTTTTTCGTAAAACAAATTCCTTTCTCGATGGAAATGCAGGAATATGAAATCTAAATGGTTCTTTTTCTGGGTATTTACTTAAGCATTTCTCTACTTTGTTATGTCTGTTCTTTATGTAGTTAATCTTCTGACATATTACCAACAAACTTTCTCCTTGTTCTTGTTTTTTGCGCTCCTTCTGGGGAATAGAAGCTTTATTTGACAGAACTACTTCTCCAGTTGTTTTTTTGCCAAAACTAAACGGTTGTGTTCCATAAGAATACATCTTTGTTTGATATACTATTTTTTTCTTTGCAGAAATTTCATCTAAACTGTACTTTCCGCATGCAAAATTGATCCACGATAAACGCTGTATAGTTTTTTTGTTTTCTTTAGTAACATTCAATTTTGGTAACATTTTTCTTCTTTAGATTTTTTCTTTAGTGATCCTTCTGTATGTAGACAACACCAGTACAACGTACAATTTCCAGTAAATGAACGATCGTCAGGCGCTGTTTTATTTAAATTAAGTGGAATCGTACAAATAATGCTTTTAAATTTCAATCATTTTGAAATATAGATCATTTGTCTTTTCGTTTGTACATTGTTGTGCACTTTTTTAATACCTGATCAAACTTAATGCAGGAACATAATCTTCCATTAAAATGACAAATGACTTCACACATGATGCCACTAAGTCTTTAACGTGAATTCTTTAATACAGAAATACTTCAAAGCTCAAATCAAAGTCACACACATTTACAGCGATTTACATCAATAGATTTATTTACAATTGTTTTCGTTTTACTTTAACAGGAAAGTTAATATTTTTCATCATGGCGGAACAGTCTTCACTTTCTCGTTTAAGAGCTGTCAATTGTTTTTTTTTAACTTCTTTATTTCCAAAGATTTGATTTTACATTGCATGTGATAAACATTTTCTTATCCATTTAAAGTTAATTAAAGCTTAAAAACTAATTTTGTTTACAGCTGCTATTCATATGTGGAAAAGCAATATTATCGTCAAGTTATACACTTGGTGTTGGATGTGAATCAGTTTGCACAGCTTTGCACGAAATTATTCATACTCTTGGTTTTTTCCATACATGCTCAAGAACTGATAGAGATTCATATGTAATTATTTATGACAAAAATATTCAAAAAATTAATTGTATTTCACTATGAGTGTAGAAAGATCGATAATTAGGGGCGCTCGTAGTTATAAATACATGAGATGCAGTATTAAGCTTCTTTGAAAGGCTTATACCATGCATATATATAAATATGAGCCACTCTAATTATCGATCTTCACACGCACAAGTATTTCACTCTAAATAATTTGATGATAATTTGATGTACAGTCAATGTCTAACTGTTGCCTTTCATAAATGTCAATAATGCAATCTTATAGGCATGGTTCACAATTTTCATAAATATTCGCATGGTAAAATTGACCATCTCAACTCTCCTTATGACATAACGTCAATTATGCACCTCCCTTAAAATACGTTAGCAAAGAACGATAAGTTAAACACAATTCAAGCAACAGCTGGCTCGCATATCAAACTTCGAAAAACTAGAAATTTATCTCAGGTCGATAAATATCAAATAAATGCTCTTTATAAATGTGCTGTAACTGGTACAAGATGTTATACTGCATTGGGTCTACAATATGGTGTGATAGCCGACAATGTTATAAAAGCAAGCATTTCTTATTCAACTCTTTATAAGCCTAGTGCAGCTAGACTTCATAGAGTACTTTTGCAGTTTGACATGGCTGCTAATGCATGGCTTTATGTAAGTTCTATCAAATATTTTTTAATAACTACGAATAATAATTCAAAACGTTGGTTGCAACATGAAAAAGAATAACAATTTTCAGGTTTTTTTTGTATGTGTTACTATGAACTGTTGCCAATGTTTCAAAAATAGTTTTGTTTATGTAGGGTCATTCAAAACCTTGTAAATTGACAAGTATAGTACAGGGAATAAATAAAGTCATCGATAAATGCTTTCAATAAGGAGCACGTTTACAATTTATATTGATCTTGGTCAACTAGTAAAAATAACTGGAATTGCTACACAAGGATATGTAGGAATGTTGTATGATGAATATACTCAAGCATATACTTTGAAAGATAAGACATCTTACTATTGTAAGTGGTATCATTACATATCTACATGTGAAGTATATGGAAGCACTAAGGTATATATGAAATATACTGAAGCACGAAAATTACATTTCGTACGCAGAAGAATTTTGGCAAATTATTTTGGCAACAAAATGAAATTAAGCGTAAATCTACGATTTACAATTTAGAGTTTACCAGGAAACTGGGATGGATGGTCAGTACAGCATAATGCACTGGTCCATCGTTTTACGCAAGATATGAACGACTATATCCAAAAACATGGATTAAGAAACCTTGTTTTTGTGTGGCGCTCTGTGGTTGTAAAGGTGAGTAAATAAAGGATGAATGAATACAAAGATTAACTTTTCCCTAAAGATTAGGATTTTTGGACTCAAAACAAATTTCTACGTTTAATAGCGTGTTTTCAATAACCATAAAAGCAGGCCTGAGCCAAGACGGTAATGAGGGGTGGGGGACATATTTATATATTCATTTTATAATCCGTAAGAAAACAATGGATTTCAAAAGAAACTAATACGGCATGTCATCGTGCATATGTGAATATGCCCCTCCCCCCAATTATCGTTCTGGTAACGGTTCACATTTCATTGTAATTTTAGCATAAAATTGTATTTATCTCTTTCTTTACTGAAAAGAGTATAATAAATTTAATCATGCAGTCAGACGCAGTTCACTCAGCCTTCGAATAAGAATACAGTTAGTACTACCTTTAGTTAAAGTCACAACTGTTTTATACAACTTCCTTTTGATATTCAACCAACTTTGTTAAGCATTGTTGCATGTGTGGTCCACAAAACAAAAGTTCCAAAATACTCGTTTATGCTGTTAATTAAGTTAGTACGAACATCGCTCGATTGAATGTCAAGAATAGTTGTCTCTGATTTCACAATCATTAAATTTCGAGATGAAAACCTACCTTTATGTAGAATGATGCGATAAACGATATCCATAAATTCAAATAAATCTTTTCTTGATCTTTTGCATCATATGTGTAATTATGACAGAATTTTTGTGCTTGTCTGTGGTGACGAGGCAGTCCGTATACTGGCGTACAATTTCGTTTTGAAATAGTGAAATTTCACGTTATACGTAGTGTGAACCGTCAAAACTTGCACATAGCTTCTCCCGAATTCTTATATAATCACCATTCGATGACAGCAACTATCGTTATTTCAGTTTCTCTCGATGCTTGCTTAGTCGTCGTCAGTCATCATATAAATTTTAATGTACGAAACGAGAACGCTTCAAAGTTTAAGCACTTAGGACGTAGTATGGAGTTATTGACGTAGTTAAATCCTAAGGGTCTCGTTTATCAATGCAAAATAATGAATTGAAGTGCTGTCTGCAGGTCGTATAAAAAAAGAACATCCTTCTGATACCTTCTATTGTTTTAATGCATTCAGCGCATGTAAAATGCTAGGTTTGAAACGGGCCTTACTCCTTAGTCCCAATCAAACGAGTAATTCGTAATGAAGTGATTTTTGCAACAATAACTTCGAGCCTAAGAACATGGACGCACTATCGATCTGATAAGTTACGATATTCAGCAAGTCTGAAACAAGCATCTTAACGTGCACCTCCACAAAGCTTTTTTAATTCTACTGCAAACATTAATATAAATTGTATTCAATATGATGTCTCTTCATTTTTTCAGGCTTCTAATTTCATTTGGATCAGCTTACCAAAATGGCTGCCACATTGTGACTTTTAGGCTGTGATTGTTTCTTATTCTTCTCTTTTCTAGTCTGACATGATGATCTCCTGTTTTCTAACTCAAACTGATGAAATACAATCACAAAATTACGTAGAAAAAACCTTTATCGAAACGTTGATAACGATAATGCACACCTAATTATATATAGTCAGTTTGTCCCATTGTCCTTTCAGGGATTTTACGGAACAACCACTGGGAACAATAAACACTTTATGAAGATACGAAGAATTATGACAAATAAAATCTTAGACTGCACCCACCGTATGCATTTCTTGTCATATTTGTGCGAACCTACATCTGCCTACGACTCGTTAGCGTAGATTCTACTTGGCAATCTTACCTGTCAAAGTTAAATTTAGCTGATTTTAATAAAAATTTTCCCATGAGCTGGTGTACTGTTGAAGGCCCAAAATCTTCAAAAGTATTTGTTATATTTTATAGTTTTTACAATTTCACATCACTTATTCTAAACCTTAGTTTCAGACATATTGGGACAGTCACACAAAAAAACAAAAAAAAGTCAAATCTGAAATACACACATTGTTTTTTATTGGCAACAAGAAAATAATTATTTAACAATTATGAAACCAAAGAAACTGCAAACTGAAGGCTGGAGTGATACATATAGTATAAGAGATTGATTTAAAGTTTCTAACCAATATCAGATCGGGTATAAATAAATAACGTCTAACTGTTTGACTGGTATTGACACAAAGCGAATGCATAACACAGTTTTCTTTTGAAGACAACTTATTGCAACATATTTCATTCTTTTTCATTCGACGGACCAAAGTTTCCTCTCTCAAAGAATCAAGTAAAACAACATTCGAAACATTGGGAATGGTCTTATTGCCCATAATGTGCGCTCTAACTAAAGGTTATTATTGTTTACAAACAATACAATATCCTCAAAAGACCACTGTATATGATTGCTGTCATCACCAATACATTCCACCAATCAGTTTTCATATCACTGTAGACTCGGATAAAAGAAATCGTTAAATAATCATTCAGGAAGTGCAAATTATTAAACACTGCCAAAATATCAGTGTGGAAAATAGAACACAATCATAATGGTTCTTAAAGCAATAAAGATATATTAAAAAAAAAAGAGAGAGAGAAGTTTTAGTAATAGGTCTCTTGGTCTAGCCAACCTAAAACAAAAAACAGGAGATGAGAAAGGAATAAGATTGAAATTTAAAAAGAAACTTCACTTACAGCCTTTATATCTACGGAGAATGGTCTTCCTACATTCGTCGTAGACGAAAATAAGAATACTAAATGGAATAGCAAGAAGCCACCATGTAAACCTAAATAAAAACAAAATATATACAGAGCCATTTTTTAAAGATTCAAACGAAGGTTTATGATGTCATTTGGAAAAAAAGACGCGCAAATGAGGTAAAAACTATTTCGAAATCGAACAAACTCAATGAAACAAATGTTACGTACCGTAAAGGATACATGCGAAGGCCATTCTCCATACCAGGGGTATATGATAGAAGAGCTGCAAGAGCAGTCTCAAAAAAGAGGCCAAATGTCAGCATGTGGTTCCTAAAAATGGAATACGCAAAGATTAATTTATGAAAATACTGTGATTGTGTTTATTATTTTAGTATGCAAGGCTAACATACTTCATGCCTTGTTGGAACAAGGATAAACGTCTCGTTTTACAGATGATCAAATCTGCCCACTGCACAACAACAATACTGACAAAAAATGCAGTGTGGCAAGTGAATTCCAGTTCTTTGCGTTGCCTATAACCCTAAGGAGAGCAAAACAAAAAATATTTATGCTGAAATATGAAATGAGAAGTGTAGTTTTTATTGAAAAGTTTGTCCTTACCCATTGTTGACCGTAACTATCTGTGACAAACACATTATCTTTATCATCCCAATCACTTCGTAAACCAAATAAACGAAGAGGTAAAAAGCCATTTTCTGCCATGATAACGAAATATGAAAAGAAACCAGCACAAGCCTATAAAAATATGTGTATAATAACATCACAATTTCTAATTCGCAGCAAATACGTGAAATACGCACATATTGGGAGTATTTTATAACAAACGTATACGATTGTACGAAAAAAATGGTTTCCATACCTGGATCATTCCAATTTGACCATAAGCCATGGCAATTAAACTATAAAGTAAATACGTGAGGTAATTTATTAAGTTCTTGACGACGTGTATCTAGGAGTATGAATATATATTATAGTCTACCGTTGGTTCACAAGTCTGTCATATTGTGGATTACGAGGCAATCGTTTCATAATGTCATTTTCCGCTTTTTCATAAGCAAGAGAGATGGCTGGAACCTTGATAAACAAAAAATAGTCAGAAGACGTGATTATTTATAATTAACATAAAATCGATTGTAGGAATTCATAAATTAACATAAATATGTTAGTGTTTCAATACATACGACAAAAAAACGCTACGCTGATGCTTCAATCATTTCAAAAATCATAGAATTCACAATGCTGTGATGTAATGTATAATAATCCTAAACTTTAATGACGAGATAAGATTTTTTAAATGTATATTAACCCTTTTTTGACAAAGCAGTGCATTATGGGTAATAATGATCAAGTTTGATGGCGAGATAAGAAAATTAATTTTATTATAATTATTATACAATAAAATTTTTAAAATTTAATATTGCGATTCTTTGAGCCAAGAGCTGATGCTGATCATATTATTCCCATGTATGAGATCAACAAACGTAATCCGGATTACACTTGATGCATTGTTAAGTTGAAACGGTCAAAATATTTGTCTCATTGTAGAGTAAGATTTAAATTACCATGTCAGTTCCCAGATCGATACAAAGAATAGTAACAACACCAAGAGGTAATGGAACATTGAATAGTATATAGAACAAGAAAGGCGAGATCTCCGGAATATTACTGGTCAATGTATACGCAATGGATTTCTTCAAGTTATCAAAATCAATCGACCTAGAAAGTAAAACAAATTCGGTTTTGAAAAATAAAAAAATCGTTGCCATTAATACACTGATAAAGCTACTTTATGCACTGATGTCTTCTTTTGGCATATTTGAGAAATGAGAACGATGCTAACCATATCGTCAGGTCGTGTTTCTGAAGCCTCAGTTGGCTTTATGTAATAGTAAAGAGAATTTGATTATTATTTCACCTTCTTCAACGCCAGTAACAATTGATGCAAAGTTATCATCAAGAAGAATCATATCTGCTGCAGAGATATGAAGAGAAGACAGACTAATGAATATATGAACAAAGTATTTTTGCACTCCATAAGGTTGCATTTTTCCATATGAATTAATAACGGGAATGCCCTATGTTTTGTAGACGGTAGAATAGTTAACATAATGGAAGAAGCGTCAACGTTGTCGTGCAAGAACAAGCGAGGCAAGAGGGGAAACTTACAGTATTGCCATAGCGACATGTTCTTGTGTCGATAAGGACAAAACTTTTAGTGTGATGAATTTTACTTTCCATTTTGTCTTTATATTAGCTTTGTCGTCGTAGAAGCTGGATAAATTTTCCGTTTTATGTACATTATTACTGGGCTTGTCATTTACTTTTCATATAGCTGCCGTGTTTCTGGTTGCAAGCTTACATCTTCAAGAAAATGTAGAAAAGATTTTGCAAAAGGAACTCTCCTGTGGCAATTGTGAAAACCAAGTTAAATCATTGACAAAGTAAGATTTTTTCCCTTTGTGAAGTGTATTTATTTGATGTTTAGGATTGATTGTTAACGTTCTTATGTGCATCTTTTACCAGAATAAATGTATTTGACATGTAGATACTGTATATTATGGCGAAGCAGATATTACGTTTGGCCGCGAATGGAGGTTGGTGCCAAGTATGTGCTCAATGTAAACGAGACCAGTGTAGAATATATTTCCATTTACTAACTAACTTTTCGTGATAGGATATAATTTTTATATGTAAAAGGTTGTATAACTATAGTGAAAACCATTCTTACACGCGCTGGAGAATAACTAGTTCTATTGCAAACATTTGCATAGAGTCATTTAATTGTGTGTTTATCAGTTTATCTTCGAACCATTAAGCCAAGTGTAGTGTCAATTCTTTAATACTCATTGCATACATTTGAGAGAGATATCGTACGTACTTTCATCGTTTATTAACTGTTGCCATCTCAATTCGATTCATGTGACGTCATGGCTCAAAAAATAAAATATATGATAAAATGCAGCTATAAATTTCAGCAAACTCTAGTAGGGCTTTCATTAAACCATGCTATTGGTCATTTAATATGTAGGTATATTTTCATTCCTTTGCATTAAGCTGTGAAAGAACGAACATAATTTCACAAGGTATAGGCGAAGAACCCAGTCTTTCTTACAAATCAAACGTTGTTTATTGTTATCGCTATTTTGCTTTTAGATTCCTCTACCAAAGCTTGATTTCACTTTGCCTTCTCCTCCAGTTGGTTCGTCTGCACCTTCCGTTCCTGAATGTCCTTGGGACCCAAATACACACATTCACATAACGAAAAATGAACAGGAGTTGACAAGAGAAGATAAGGAGAAAGACATGCATGAAGCGTCGAAATTGGAAAAAGAAAAGAAGAAACAAAGAAATGCTTACTTACAACTTTACGAACACTTCCATATCACTTGAAGCATCAACACCAGCCGAATCTGAAGAAGGTGTGCATTATGCTTCAAAATTAATGCATGTCTGATAGGTATAAATGTTACTCACATGTTGAACCAAACTATACTGATCATACTGATATTTTAGAGCTCATGCTTACATTGTACGAAATCTATTTCCGGAGTAACCATTCATTTTTTTATGCTATTGTCAAGTCTCTTATTGAACGTTTCAGGTCGTGATGCCGCTGCTTTGCCTATAACTACTGACTTTTGGCCCCCAGCAATGTCGTCAGCCGTTCCCGCGTTGTTGGACTTCTTGATAATTCGTCTGTTACTTCATCGCAAGTTGCGTGTGGGTTGAACACGCTTATCATTGAACCGTTCCATTTTCGTACAACACAGGATGTTTATACTGTTAACAGTTTCGACCATTCTTGATCAAACCAACTGATCAGAATTCTTAATCATTTCCCCTTTTTTGTTTTTTCATTTTTCTTATGGTCTGTTGGTCATTTTTTAAAGTCTCCGAAGTCGCCAAGACTACTTTGTGGGAATGTTTAGTTGATGATCCAATGTTGTTCTTTCGGACATTTTTTGAAGATATCACCAAGCCCAATAAACAGGTAAGAAAGGCAGAACATTTCATATTTTTCTACAACACTCACTCTTTTCTGATCGTAACTTATTGTCATGGTTAATGTTATAGTTGCATTTCTCGTTTCAGAAAGAACTTGTCTTTCTTCTGAGCAAGTTATTTCATATACCTACGCTTCCTCCTAATGCTGGCGTGATACTCTTCAATCATTTGGTATGTCAATCTAAATTTTCACCTATTTTCACAAAGCAAATCAAGTTCTGCAGACAATAAACATCAATCTTAAAACTTAAAAATGTGCGCAATGAAATTAATTATCACGATCATTCCATTTATGTTCTGTAAGAAATATCGTTGTAGTTATTGAAAACAACGAGGCTATTATTTGCATCGTAGATCTCAGTGTGAGTGACATGTACAAATAGTTGAAAACACTTATTGAATGAAATTAAATGTAGCTAGTCTTTTAAAGAAGAGTTTCTTCGTTGCTTAAAATTGGATTGTCGTCTTATTAACTCTAGGTTGGAGTGATCTTATATTATTCAAGACGTCATCAACCATGTTCCGAGGGAGCCAGTGCTCCCATTCTCTCTTCCTTGCTGTGGAAGGTAATGAAAACTCATTTTTCATTATTCTATGGTTGTCTTTGAGACTTCTTGAGATGGAGGTAAATGCATCTATATATATGCATATATAATCAAATTTAATTTAAGTGCAAAGTTTCCACGGATACTACAGTGTTGTGATAAGTATGGCGAAAATTATGTCACATGTAATTCAGGAGCACAGTCAAAACTTTAATCTTTCTGGAGCGTGTAATAATAATACCTGATTCATTGTTGCTTGGCGATTTGATTTCTTTATTAGTGTTCTAAACATTGTCTAGAAACAACAAGCATTTTTTGACATGCGTGGATATATGTATTTCACTTTAAAATGATAGCATGGTCCAAATGTAAAAATATTAAATGCGCACATGGCATAGATGTGGTGCAAGGTTAAAGCTCTGTTTTCTACTTTTCCGTTTTCTACCTTTATTCCTGTACTTTAGAAATTTTCTGTTGAGATATATGCATGTTGAGATACATAATGTTGATATTGTGAGGAAACAAAACGATGAAAAGATCTCCACTACTTAATAAAATTATTCTTTTCCATTTTTCCCAGATTGTGCCAAGCGTTCCCAAATTATACCTGAAAGATTTAAAATATTCGGCGAAGAAAGAGCATTGCGAGGTTAGATTAATTTTACTTAAACAGCATGTAGCTATATATTTTTATGATGAACGAAATTGTAATCTTAAAGTAAATTAATCCTTTTAAAGTAACAATGCATCTCATGAATAATTAAGCATATTGTAGTAAATTGTGAGTTTGTTGAAAGGCTATCAAGACATCTAAACATTTCTTATAAAAACTCTTCATCAATTCAGTAACATAAATCGAGAAAGAATCTTATCATACCGCTCACAATCCATGTTCTCTGTCATTTATCTGCGTCGCATCATTACTGAGGGGATATTGGGGAGGTGGAGGAGTTTATACGGTGTACTGCATGTTTCTTTTGTATTTCAATGTATTATTATTGCTTTTAGAGAACACTAATGGTTACTGGCAACACGCCAGGAACCAAAGTACGTATGTTTCTTCACTTGTAAAGTGATTGTCATTGTTCTATATATACCAACGATTCTAGTACAGCTTTTGAAGTAAGTTTCATGTTGCCACTTGTAGTACAATATAGTTTGGTAATAAACATTAATTACTGATTATTAAACTCGTTTTTATAGAAAGTCGTATTTGCTTGCCCCGAACCCAAAAATAACACAGACAATGGGAAGTTGACTGTGCGAGAGGTTTGTGGCTATTATTTTTTCATTCTGTTTCTTTTGTGCTCGTATCACTTCATAGCATTTTGATGTTATTGTCTTGCACGGTGTCCTGTCGTCGGAGTACCCTTTTTTCATTTCTTGTTTTGTTTTGATGCTCTTAATTGGCATAGCGTTGTAAAGTGCAAAATATTTTTCATGTTTTTTTACAGCTAAGTTTGACATCTTTGTGTGATAAACTCTATGGCGGACTGACTTCAGTTTGCAACTCACTAATTTTTATTTAAACGTTTCGCATCATCTAGGAAAAGTTTTAAAATTGATGGGAACGTTAAATTGCTCTGTATAATATAATGACACATGTATTGTTGCAAGAAACAAACGATAGATGGTAAGCCTGAAATTTACGATACGTTTTGTTGTTTTTAGGATATGTCGTTTGGTCACATATTGCAGTATTGTACAGCAAAATGGTCATTGGATAACCCCCATTAATGTTTATTGGATGTAAAATCAGGTATTTTGTTCCTTGTATACGATAGTTAAAAAAACACGACCTCTTGATACGTAACTTGAATGAACAATAAAATGTTTCATACATTTATTTCATTAGTCCATTAACTCCAATTTAATTTTGAAACTTTGCACTAGAAACGCATTAAAAAATTTGACCACTTGATTTCATACAATTTCACCGTAGTACAATGCATTTCGAGCTTTCTTGAGGTAGACTTTACGAGAGTTCACCTGTTTATAACGACGATAATAACTTTGAATGAGAACAGCCGCTTCTAACTCGTCCATGTGTTGTTTCTTACGAATCTGAAAATAAAACAAACGCACTTTAACAAAAGAAAGTCCAGTCCGTATTGAAAATTTCAAATGAACGTATAAGAAATGACACAAATATTACAATGCAACAGATGACTGTACATATGCCGTTAAAACGCATAGCGTAAATTAAATTTTTAGATAATAAAATAGAGAGTTTATCGCGACGACAAATTTAAAAATTATTTTAAAAAGAGCAAATACCATTGAGAATGGTCAACATAATAACGGAATAGTTCTTAATTCCCAATTTTCCTAATACATGACAAAAGAGTTATTATTTTGATCATTCACCGTGGTATTTTCTCTTTTTGAAACAATTTATAAATTTTTAGAAGTTGATCTGTTATACACGTTTATTTGATAAAGGCGTTTATTCATTACAGGCACTATTTGAGAGAGGCGATTGATTAAATAACTACGGTGATCGTGTTCTTCAAAATCATTACAGTAAGATGAAAACACAAGCTTCTCGACGATGATAGTTCCTTTGATCTTACTTCATTATCTTTTAGTTCCTTTGCAACATACATTGAGCAACAAACCATTAAAACAGTCGCGTCTTTTTTCAGCTATACCTTCAAAGCAAAACCGTTCGACAGTCGTATTGTAGAATGCCATGGCATGTACGGAATCCCAGTGAATTATCCACTTATTCATTTCATAGTGAAACGACAAAATGAAAATGTCTTGATTATTCTTCGAATCGATCGTGATATATGTATAAAAAGGAACACTTTACGGTGGTTTAAGGTTATCTGCAACATAAAGTGCGCTTGCATGCAATGTTTTCTATTCATTACATAAATTCTGATCGCGTTCAGACGCGCACCAAATTTTACTCAGTTTGTGATTGTTGGGTTTTTTCATGGAAGTCTGGCTTCATTTTCTTAAGAATTTTTCAACCAACAGAATTATCCTCATGGTATTATATATTTTACGTAAGGCACTATAATAATTTTATAGAAAGAGTTTAACAAATATAACAATTCAAAACATGTATTCGGTTTCGCTATTTACTGTTCAGGTATCATGCATTTACTTTCAAAAAAAATTCTGTCAGGCGCAAAAGAAAAGACTGTACGAATTAACGTTCTCATTATGCCCGTGACTGGTAGTCATATTGACGTACTTCATGTATGGCCAAAGTTTTTGAGCGAAATACTTTTGCTTGTATATTCACGTGTTATTTACCCTGTGCTGCTCTATTATTGGAGATCCGCCATTTTCGGTTGCTTTAAATGGCCAACAGGGCGCGAAAAGCGTTACCCTAAATTCATTCTATAAAACAAGATTTCCGATGGGTGGCTTACGAAACGAGATCATCCGAATATTTACTTTTAGGCATTACAAACTTTTTTTTGAATCCATACAACTTTTGCGTATTTGCAAGAGAAACAATTAATGCCACGTCAAAAATTAAACGATTTCCGCGAAGGATTCCTATAAAATGAGATGCCGCCAGTGTTTTTATAACGCATTAGAGTCGTCGATGTTTTTTGAAGTTATTTCAAAGTGACGAAGTTAAGCACTACTGTATATTACGTAAATCGATCTATAATATGTACATATATTAAATAAATGATCTATTGTGTTTTTGCCTGTTGTTCAATCGTAGTTCACGACGCCCATAATTTGTAGAGGCAAAGTAGATAATTAAACCGTAGTGATAATTGTATCAAAAATATGTAAAATATAAAAATCGAGCGTTACTAAAAATGCTACAGAATGCTCAACATAACTCATACTCTAAATTTCTACGCACTTATCGTCTTCTTCAAACCAAATTACTGTGGTGTGCATTATTTGGGTCGTGCTTTGGATAATTCAGACCTCTCTTTTCTTGTGAACCAAACCTTCGTGCTGGTCTAGAAACGGGGTTGTTGGATCACAAAGCTGATCTGTCTTTTGAGGTAGCCTGCATCCCATCTGATCTATTGCGGTCTACCCGTGGCTCCAACCCGATAATTTTATTGTTTGTTTTCATTCGACTGGGAAGCGGCTCGGCCAATTTTGATCCATCCTTCAAAAACGATTCCGTTGGTCGGAAAGCAGATTTTTCCCCCTGATAGAGAAACGGCTTTCCTTGTACTTAATTTTCATTTTCATTCCATTTTTGTTGTTTGAAATTATCAGATTTCACTTCACGCGACTTTGTTGATGTTTCACTGGCTACAATGACATCATCGTTCTCGCTTTTTTTACACTTTATTTGCCCGAAGGCGGGTTGCTGTCCATTATCCGTCGCAACGTCAATACTCGACTCATGTTTAGTTTCTACATCAACCTTTTCTGGCTTTTGGATATTTTCAGCCATCATAACTTTCAAAAGTTTACACTCGATCTCGTGATTCTTTTTCCTTAATGAAGGTAAGACAAATTGATAAACTTTGTTGTGTCCGACAAACAATTTTAACATTCCGCATAAACATATGGGTCAGTGATAAATATATGTTAAATACACATAACCAAATACCAAAAATTGGAAAGTAGTCTTGGGTAACTGGCTTATGAACGGTATCAAACTTTCCAATGGAGAGATGCAAGGTGAGAATTTATTGCAGCTTTTTTGTACGGATACTTTATCAAAGCTTTGACACTATATGTCACTATTCTGACTACTACCTTGTCGCAAGGCATAAAACTAACTGGAATTAACGAACCAAAATGCCGATGATGTCGTACCCAAATCCTCATGTCTAACTACCGAGTCAAGGTGAGACCAGCATGAATAGTGGCAAAAAACGAGACTTTGATTAAAATTAAGTTAAAACAGCGTAAAACAGCAATCCAATCCAAACATTCGAAAACCAAACGTAGACTATCACCTCTGCAACTCAGTGAATTAGCTAGATCGATAAGCGAGAGAGTCATAATTCGTACATGCATGTTTTGTTGCATCAATTTTCCATTGAAATCAACTTTTTTGTGGGGAATAAAACATACAGGCATAAAAATCAGTCTTAGACAAATCCCAACGTTGAATCCACTCGGGAGCTTATGCTGTACATTGCTATTTCACGTACAGTTAAATAAAAACGTGTAATGGCATGAAAAAATGAAAAAAGAGTAAATCGCAAACGATGTCAATGTGTTTGATCAATAACATCATTCTCAATATTATCATTCCTTGCGTAACTAACAGTAAAACATTTAAAACGTGTATTCACTTACTTCACATTGGCATTCTCATTCGTCAAACTCTCCACTTTCTTTTGTGCGTTGGCCAATTCAGCCTCGACCTTTTTCTTTTCAGCAATCATTCGTTCCAGTCGAGCGCTTGCGACGGTGCCCACAACACCCACGGGCTCACCGTTGGATGAACTAGAAAACAAAAAATAGGGGGAAACTTTTGGGATTCGATTTGGAAATGGGGGAAAAAATAGAGCATTTGCAAAAGATGATTTCAATATGAAGCTGTGTAAAAATGTGGCTCACATAATGTTTATTTGCGTTTTGCTGGCAGTAGGGCTGTGCAATCTACGGTTTTGCATCTCCGGCTCCAGCCTCTTGTCAAATATGAACTCCGGCTATTTTATAACTAGAATCACTGGTTGGTGGCTAGTTAATTTTGCAAGTCACTGTTCAACAGTTTAAAGTACTTATGCAACGAATTTTGACCCATAAACTTTTTTGGCCAAATAAAAAGAAGTAGCCTCACTCTATAATTGAAATCAGAAATAAAATTGAACTTTTCTATCCAAAGTCATGATCGTCCAAAGTTGCATTTTTTACACTTACTGTGCGAACTTTTAAAAGGCCATTTTATTAATTTTGCAACACTTTTAAACTGTTCTTTCCAATCAATTCCTTTGTCCGACAGAGTCATCATTTTGACGGGAACGATAGATAATCCGCGGTACACATTAACACTATCCAAGTCAAACCTAGTGCTCAAAGATGATTGAAGATGGTCTAATAACGGAATAGTGATGGTTAGTTTATGATGTTCTTTGAATGATTGACTGGGAGGATTAGATCGAATAGTTTAAGGTTACTAAATCCATAACTGAAAATCCTTTGTCCAAAGAGTAGCATCTATTTTTCTTTATCTTTCTGTCCGGCATTTTGAGTCTTACGTGAAACTTCAAACTAGGAGAATATAAGGTTTGTTAGATAAGTTCAGAAAACAACAGTTAACAGAAGCATTAGTAACTAAAATATATAAGATCCAAGTAATATTTTGAAATGGTTACCCCTCTGCATCCAACATCCTTATATTTGTTTACGCTTTAATGTACTTGATAAAGATGTATACTTTGTACATTTGGAAAACACATTTGATTTGCTGACATTTAAATTAAACTTTATTTTACTTTAATCTAAAATACAGTTTACTGTTTACGTTATATGTAAGTTGATTGCTTCAGTATTTTATTTGTTCATCTGTTCATTGCCATGAGCTTAAATGACTATAACAAAAAGCCAACCTGTGTAATTTCCACGTGCAGAAACTTGATTTCTCTTTTTTACTACCTTAATTTTTCTAATATTAGTTGGATTTCTTCGAAAATCATCTTTTTTTCCTTTCCGTGTGTCTACAGCAATATGCAATATTTTTCATCAGTTAACGTGAATTTACACGATTGGCTTTTTTATTTTGCTATAAAAATTTGTGTTGCAAGAACAAAGGGGTTTTACGTATAGCTACTGGCTTCACAGATCAGTCACTTAGCTCGCTTTAACAACTGAGATGCCATGATTAAATCTTGACTCGTTTACTGTGACTGTTTAGACCGGTCTGTTCCCTGTATGTGTGCATTTTTATGTGAAGAGACTTTTAACACGTTTGACAAGATTAATAAACTTTTAATATCCGAGAACGAGGTCTTACAGAGTTATCCTGTAGAGTGAGGTTTGTACAAAAAAAGACAAAGGTCCGATATTTATCAGTAAAGACTGAAAGCGAGCTTATTAAAAAGTATATTATATGACATTATTTCACCTGAAACGAAGCTTGCTTTGTTTCTCGTCGTTGCTGTTTTGCACGTGTTGTCTTTCACTTTTCTAGTTTTCATCAGAAAAAATAAATCGTTTCAAATTGTATCGTCTGGAAAGTAATGGACTGGCAAAAATCTTTTTGAGCCAATCAAGACGCACTAATTTGCCGGAAGTGACGCTTGCCATATAATAACGTCGTTTAATTTATGTCGTAATAATGTGACAATGCCACATTATATTGACGCTTTTTTCACAAAAAGTTTGTATTATTATAGGTAAAACCATTGTTACATTGTAAAGAAACGAGCTTAAAACTTTTCGCTTAATACTAGCTATGACGATTGTTTAATTGTCTTTTCGAACTTCTAGAAGTTCTTTGGCATACCAATAATTTAAGACAATGAAGTTTAACGATCGTAAACCGGGGCTATTGATGTTCGGAGATCGAATGCTTTAAATAGTTCCAAACTAAAGTTAGTAAAACTGCTATCGCAATGGCCGCCGACGTGTGCAGTTATGTTTACAATTCTACCAATTTTTTATTATTAAAATAACCAATATTTTAGTGGTCACAAAGGTTTGACCAATCTAAAAATTGGTCGCGACAAAAAAAGGTTGGTAATTTTGACCAATCTGTTTTTACTTTGTAGCATAGACGTGGATTGTAACTTCTCCTTATTTTGTAACGATGAAAATTGCCAATTATTTTTGTAAATATTCTTTTCCCAGCACCTTTTTTTAATTACAGCACTGAACAAGAGTTAAACCATCGATTAACATTTTTAGACGTTCTTGTTTATCAACGCAATACTGAGTAAATTCCTTACTACTATTCTACGCAAAGTTACTCTCACGGGTTTGGATACACGCTTGGACTTGTTCTCTTGACGAAGAGAAATAATGTCTTTGGTAGAGTGCCTGATAAAGCCCATGAATAGGGATTGTTAACAAAGGAGTTCTTAACTTCTTAAAAAAATATTAACTTCTTCAAAAGAAAATAGGAAGTGGATAGATAATCAAGACATTTCTTTTAATTGGAGTCCTTCAAAGACCTCAACTCTCTTCGTAAGGATTCTGTTTTTATACTAAAAAAATAGACAATAAGGAGGTAATGTGTATTGTCTAGACTGCAAAGTTGAGGAAGGAAGAAAGCAAGCATCGGTGGCGGAAATATCAAGATGAAGACAATGGTTTCAAAAGCTATTGTGACAGGTATTGACATTTCTGGGACAAACAAGCCAGACTTTTGTGAAGCCTGTGTAAAGTGAAAGTTACATCGAACAACCTTCAAAGCAGTGGGAGAAGTTAAGTCAACAAAAAGGCTAGAGCTTGTACACAGCGATGTCGCAGGACCCATGAATACAGAAAGTTTTGGTGGTGCAAAATACTTTGTGACATTTATCGACGACTACTCAAGATGTGTAAGTGTTTACCCTATCAAATATAAATCAGAAGTACTGACAAAATTTAAAGAATGGGAATTGGCAGTAACGAATCAAGCAGACTGCCATATTAAAACATTACGAACTGATAATGGAGGTGAATACTTGTCCAACGAATTTGAAGATTATCTCAAGAAAAAGGGAATCAGACACGAAACAACCGTTCCTTATTCACCGCAACAAAATGGTGTTGCTGAGCGAATGAACAGGACGCTCCAGGAAGCTGCTCTTTCGATGATCTTACATGCAGGAATTGCGAAGAGTTTCTGGGAGGAAGCAATTTCAGCTGCAGCATACATCAGAAATCGAATTGTCACAGCTGCAACAGGAGTTACACCATATGAGCGATGGTATGGTGAGAAACCAGATGTCTCTAACCTTCGCATCTTTGGTTGCATTGCATATGCTCATGTTACACATTCACTACGTCCGAAACTGGAGCCAAAAGCTGAAAAAATGCGATTTGTTGGCTACAGTTTGAAACAAAAAGGATACAGATTGTATGACGAAAACAAACGGAAAGTCTTCATTCGTCGCGACATAATTTTTAGGGAAACAGACTTTGGGCATTCCAATGAAGTGCAGTTAGAGTTGGACCAAGAGAACGAGTTGTACCTGAAGAAAGAGGAAACAGAGAAGTCTACTATGCTGAGACGTTCAGCAAGAGAGAAGAAACCGCCAATTTATTATCATGATGAATACGCCAATGTGTCGACAACAACCCATACAGCACTCTATGTAACACAGGTTGAAGAGCCTACATCCTTGAAAATAGCTCTTGAAAGCGAACATGCTCAAAAGTGGAAGGAATCACTGACTCAGAGTATGAATCACTAATGGAAAACGATACCTGGGAACTGGTACCTCTACCACCAGGTAGAAAAACTATTTTGTGTAAGTGGGTGTTCAAAGTGAAACATGACGAGAACGGCAAAATTGATAGATTCAAAGGGCGTTTGGTTGCAAAAGGCTTCCAACAGAGGTATGGAATTGACTTCGAAGAAACATTTTCACCTGTTGTCAGATTCACGTCAATTCGAGCTCTCTTGGCATTTGCTGTTTCAAAAAACATGTTTATTCATCAAATGGATGTTGTCACTGCGTTTTTAAATGGGACACTAGATGAGGATATATATATGGAACAACCAGAAGGCTTTGTTGTCCGTGGAAAAGAAAACCTTGTTTATCACCTTAAAAAGTCTCTGTATGGATTGAAACAGAGCCCAAGATGTTGGAATTTGTCTCTAAAAGAATTCATGGTTTCTCAGGGATTTGAACAAAGCGCTGCTGATCCGTGTGTGCTTGTTCGCAAAATCAATCGTCATCTTACAATCGTTGCTGTGCATGTGGATGATCTCATATTATTGACGGAGAGTGAACATGAGATGATAAATCTGAAAGCAAGTCTGTCTGCAAGATTCAAGATGAAAGATATGGGAAAGCTCCATTACTGCTTGGGAGTGAACATCAAACAAGAGAATGGCTCGCTAATGCTAAGCCAAGAACAGTATATCAACAAGATCCTGTACAAATAAAAACTACAAGACTGTAAACCCGTATCCACTCCAATGGACAGCAATCTATGCAGCTATAGCAACTCGACCTGACATAGCTCACGCCGTAAATACCCAGTCAAAGTTCAACTCATCTCCAACTGAAGGGAATTTAACTGCCGTTAAGCGAGTATTTCGGTATTTAAAAGGTTCAATAAAATTGCACTTGCTGTATCAATCAAATGGTGAAGAAATGGAAGGATACTCGGATGCTGATTGGGCTGCAGATTCAGAAGACCGACGATCTACGTCTGGCAATGCATTTTTAATGTCCACTGGTGCGATTAGTTGGACAAGCAGAAAACAACCGACCGTGGCTTTATCAACCTCCGAAGCTGAGTATATCGCTCTTTGCTTGGCAACGCAAGAGTGTGTTTGGTTGCGGCAACTTCGAAAAGACCTGAAAATG